CGACACAGTCTCGCTGTCGACGGCGATTGACGCACTCATGCAGAGTCTGGCGCTCGCGGCCTGGGACTGGGACGAGGAGGCACTACTAGGCGTGGGCCGAGCGCGCGAGAACGTGTGGGGCCGGGCCTGGAGACGAAAGAAGCAGCGTGAAGAACGAGCGGCAGCAGAAGGTGGCCCGCCAAAGCCAACAGAAGATCCAGCAACCCTTCCTCTTGGCCGTGACGAAGATCCGGCGTTTGGCTTTGTGGTGACAGTCCGCGTAGGTGTGACAGAGACCATTGTCCATTGCCGCTGGCTCGAGGGCCACAACGAGGCGATGTACCAAAGCTTTTGTGGATTCCTCAAGGACAAGTTAAAACCATCACGACCAGAAGGAGACTAAGTTACAGGTTGAAGATCCGCCGTGATTGTTGGTACTTTGTTGTGCTACCTGTCAGGTATAGTAGACTCAACGGCTGACCTTTGTATTCTATTTAATGTAGTTGTCTATAAGATGAAATAGAAACAAATTTAACAATAAATAAATAAATTTAATTAGAAAAAGATGAAATAATATGGATGATAGCTAGCGATACTGACAAAGGACATACAGTGTAGGGTGCGAATTACACATGTAGCACTGTGCTCTTGGTACTGCAATTCTCCACCTAAACTACGCTGTACGTCAGAGCTTCTCAGAAACGAAAGTCTATTTACAAATTTTAGGCAAGCTCTGCTTCCACAATACTAAACACGGGCAGGCACCACCGTTCTTCGACCAGGGCGATTGCGACGCTCTTTTTCCTCCCTAACGTCGTCCCGCAAAGCCAGAGCACCAGTGGCCGCCATAATGTCTGGCTCCGGCAACAATTCGCGCTTCACGGCGCCGAACCAGACGACCGAGCAGCGACTGTCGACCAACGTCGTGGGTCTCGTTGAGCTGTCCGACTTCCGCAAGCGGCGCGCCGAGGTTCTTGAGCAGCAGGAACGTGAAGCGCGTGAGGCGGCCAAGGCGGGACCGACCGAAGATGCGAGTGACGGGAACGGAGGAACCGGGTCAGCGACCCCCGACGCCGGCCGCGATTCGCCAGCGGGAACAGGCGATGCAGCAGCCGGTACAGGCGGCAGCGAGGCAGAGGGTGGTCCGGCCAAGAAGAAGACGAAGACCAAGGACGGCAAGAACAAGAAGAAAAAGGGTGGCAAGACGAGCAAACTATCCTTTTTGGGGGACGACGAAGGCGACGACGAAGACGGGGACGGGGACGACGACGTCCATCATAAGAAGAGCAAGGCCAGCGCGAAAGATTCGGCCTCGTCCTCCCTCGCGCCCTCGCCCTCGCCCTCTACTACGAGCGACCTGCCGCCCATCAAATCGTTCACGCAACAAGCACTGCGGCGGCAGGCCGCCGAGCGTGAAGCGCTGCGTAAAGAGTTTTTGGCGCTGCAGGCGGCCGTCAAGGCCAGCGAGGTGGCCATTCCCTTTGTCTTTTACGAGGGCGCCAACATCCCCGGCGGCACGGTGCGCGTCAAAAAGGGCGACCATGTGTGGCTGTTTCTGGACCGCAGCCGCAAAGTGGGTGCGCGCCTGGGTGTCGGCGAGAAGCGGTTGAGCAAGGCGCGGCTGCACTGGGCGCGCATCAACGTGGACGACCTGATGCTGGTCCGCGGCAATCTCATTATACCCCATGTATGTTCCCAGCGTGCCTCGTGTGTCTCTTTGTGTATTTCCATGTACAAATAACCTATGGGCCCACGTACATACTGACCAAAAATCCAAACAGCACTATGACTTTTATTTTTTCGTCATCAACAAGACCCTTGGCCCTGGCGGCGAGCGGGTGTTCAACTATACCAACGAGGCGCCGACAACGGCAGCACAGACAGCCCCTCTCACGACGCCGCGCAACAGCGTGAAAAAGGACGGTGGTGGTGATGGTGATGATGAGACGGCGGCGGCGGCGGAGGAGGATTTTAGTCACCTCGAAGGGGCCAACGACGACCCGGGCCTCACAAAGGTTGTCGACCGCCGCTGGTACGAGCGCAACAAGCACATCTTCCCGGCGAGTCTCTGGCAGGAGTTTGACCCGGAGGAAGACTATGTCCACCAAGTGCGGCGCGACCAGGGCGGCAATGCCTTTTTCTTTACCCCCAAGTGAGGGACAAGCGGAAGCGGGTGATTTTGTTTTGTTTGTTATACCAATGGTCCCTTTACCATCTATCACGCTCCGGCCACGGCCGCTGGGGTCACGGCAACCGACAAGCCCCATAGGGCCGCCGCGAGCACCAGCCAGCCAGGCCATAACACCACTAGCAGCACCCCATTACCGCTCGGGCCCATGAACAGCAGCGCCACCTCAAAGTACAGCTTTTTGCGGAGCCGCGTCGCGGGCTTGCACGCCCACAGGTGCCACCAGAAGGCCAGCCAGACGGCCTGCCCGCACCGCACCGCACACAGCTGCGCCGTTGCCACAAGGAACGTGCCGAGGATAATAAGGAGGCGGGCAGTATGGCGTACCACCCATGCGGCAGGTTTGGCTGCTGTCGCCGCAAGTGCCCAGGCATAGACGGTATTGCTGTGGCAGCGATAGATAATGTCGAGCGTGGACGAGCGAAGCGAGAGGGGAAGGTGGGTGGTTGTTGTGGCGGCGGTTGTCGCTGGTGTTGGCGTCGCCGTAGCCTTGTTGATTGACATTGAGAAGGACTCCGGATGAGCTGCGGAGGCGCCCGTTACTTGTGCTGCTACCTCTGGATGTGTTGAAGTCTTTTGTGTCTGGAGGCCAGAGACGTCTGAAGCCGACGAGGCGGCCGTGAGGAAGGCCATGGGGCCTGTGAAGAGGGAGAGGGTTGTCATGATTCTTGATAGAAAGGTTTCCGACTCTTTTGCGTTGGCGATATCGAGGTCGATTAATCAAATTACTCGAGGCAGAGGGGTGTATGTGAGTGTCGAGTGAGGACAAGTACGACGGTCATATAGAAGCTCAGTAATGTATGCCCAAATTCGTCGTGAAGAAGTGAAACCCAAGACTTGAAACAAAAAAATAATGACAACAATAAAAAGGAACAAAACGACGACCGAGACAGTAGCATTTATTTCTCACGGAAGGTCTTTCATAGTATTTGATTTTGATCACCTACCCTCTCTCGTTTCACACAAATGCTGTGCCAGTGTTTACTTTTGCTATCCGGCAGCAAACTACTACACCTATTGCTGACACGAACAACCCCCTCTTCTCTTCGCCCCCGCGTGCAATCCGCATGTTCCATGCCCGTCTTGTCAACCAATGTATTGGGCCGCCGTGCAGCACATGGGAGCATATGGTGGCTCGAGGCTGTGGTGGTGGTGGAGGTAGGAGTTTAGTCACCTGGCTCTGATCCGCTCACATTCCGCAAACGCCCTAGCCAGACAATTTTCGGAAGAGCGACAAGTGCCCGGCGAGACGCCTGGGAATAGCACGAAACGGCCGTTTGCGACCATTCGAGACCCGTCTTCTTAGATGTTCCGGACAATCTCGTCCTCGGAATCAGAGACGTGCTGGCGGTTATTTTGGTACCCCCCTCTGGCTCCGCCTAGTGGGATGCTTCAAGAGGAGTAATAGATGAACGTTGTCGCCAACGGCGCCATTTGCAAATAAACACGCACACGTGGGGGACCATTAATACATTATTCCATAAATCGGCCGAAGGGGCCGTTTCTCTTTCTCCTTTGTCTCAACGAACGGTCGCGGCGAATGTTTCCTCTATTTTGAGGCCTGTTGTACTACCCGTCATCGTTTCGGCGTCTTAATTAGAAATATCTTGGAAAGACATACGTCGCGTAAGGAAAACGTCGTGTCATCCCCATATACGGAGTACGTCGTATATGCAGTGGCCGAATGTAGAACTGACCGGCACATCAATCCCCCAGCACAGACACAGGTTAGGGAAATCAATGACCTCTCTCACAACTTCCGCGGTTTGCTCATTGTGGCAAGCCGAACCGGTGGGCGAACGGGTACATTGAGACGTCAAATTTGCTTATTTTTGCTGTGCCGTTCGACGTTCGCAAAGAACGACAAAGTAATGTTTATATCCCTTGCCTGCCTTGACACTCTGAGCGTCGAAACAGGTATTACTGCGGGGGAAAATGCACGTCGTAAGGAGGGTTGAAGACACAACGTCGAAGAGTGGCAAGTCTTTTCATGGCAAGGAACGGCAGATGCGGAGATGCCGGTTTCGACTTTACTGTTCATTCGCCTCTGCAGCATATGTTCAGGAAGCGCAGCCTTGTGCCAGCAAAGTGCACAAGCATTGGCTGCAGGGACAAGAGGTGGCATTGCTGGCCGGGTACCAATCACAGCATGGACCCTGTTTCCTGTACTGCAGATTCCAGAACTGATCAACAATCTGACAGGTTTGCTATTATTGGTGGGACTAACTGGTTGACAAAAGAAAAAGACGAAAGAGAAGAGTAACGCGACGAACGTGAACAGGACTGGCCTTATGCTTTGGTGAGGACGGGCGGAGGGGCGCTAGCAAAACGTGGCGCGCGCCACTTTATGATTGGTCGGTGAAGACTCCGTCACAACAGCCACAGACGACGCGGAGTTCGACAAAGGCAACGCAGATCAGCCAACGGAGAAACGCAATGGAGAGAGTAGAGGATGGAGAATTCGTATTTTGTACCCTTTTCCAAGAACAGTACAGTAAAATATCCAGACATATGGCGGCAATCGACATGGAATATCACGTAAGACGCGAAGTAAACCTCTTGAGCTTTTTCAGCCTCCAGATCACCCCCGTTAAAAGCAAAAAGAACCCCCTCCCAATGATAAATCAATGCCAGTCCCTGTCCCGATGGTAAAATAAATACAAACGCTATTCGTACACGCGTAACTGCATTTATTTGGTATTATACGCCGCTTTGGTCGTCCATGGGCTTTGGATTAATGCCAATATTTATATGGACTCTGTCATCCGCATCATTCAGTATGTCGTTTTATCTACTTCGCTTGGCCTCTAGTCGATATGTTATTCGTTGTAAATCAAGGAACTGGTTCCTCCAGTAACATCAGGCTTTCGGCCGAGAGGCGAATTTGATCTGATTATTCGTTAGGACGTGTTGTTTTGATAAAGAGCACAGTTCACAACATACCTCGCATCGAACGCAACGCCTCAAACGCGGTCGCGTAGTTCTCCAGTGCTGCCAGGATCGACGTCAACCCCCGTTGCAGTTGCACAAGCATGCTGACGAGGTAGCCGTTGCTCGATGTGCTTGGCTGCAGGACCTTGGTCTTCCGGTAGATGGACAGGAACACATATGCACCCTGCATTGCGCAGCACACAAACGACGGCAGCATCCGTGGCGCTACAATGGGCGATGTTGGCGACAGGAAGCCGAGCTCCAGTCCGTACTGACCCGACGGGTTAGGGTATGGAAGACCGTCAAACCCGCGCGCAATGTTGAGCGCGGATCGTAAGCAGATTTTGGCGGAGTAGTGACTGCTGAAAGGCACCCTCGTGTTGCTGCCGTTGCTGTTGCCGTTGCCGTTGTTGACGCTGCTTGTGGTGCCGCTGTCGTGAGCGCCGCCGGCGTGGTTGCCCGCCATATCAACGTCGCTCATCGTTGCCACCATAATGGCGGCCTCGAGCTGCTGTTGGTGGTTTGTCGTTGGCGGTGAGGCCGTACCAGTCTGTGGTGGCGAGCCGAGGGACGAGACATACGACAAGCTCTCCGGGCTCCCGGAAGTCTTCGTTGAGTTGGTCGTTGAGTGGCTGTGGGGGAGCGAGTTGCTTGCCGAATGAAGGCTGCTAAGAGGGGTGCAGCACAATGGCCACGGCAATGGCTCGTAGCCGTCCGGGGCCACCTCCGAGGTAGACTTGAGGTCACAGTGCTTGCCACTAAAGATGGGCACGTCGTAAAAGGCGCAGTACCGGTGCACCTTTACCCGGGCACTGTTTATTTTGATGCGAGCCATGCTCCGTAGCGTCCGTATCAAGCACGTCTCGGCGGGTTCGACAACCGGTGCCAGGCAACCGCTGAATGCCCAGCTCTCGGAGCGTTCTACCATGGGCGCTATGCGGCTCTCCAGGTCTGTCATTTTCTTATAGATTGGCTCCATGTCACCTTGCGTGGCCAGGGCCTTGTTCATTTGGATGACGAATTGCGTCGCTGCGAGTATTGCTTGCTGGGACTCGATGAAGACGGGCCATGCTTCTGGATCGACATCCAATGTAGGATACTTGGTCGTGAACGACGCGTTGTACAGCTCCAGCGGAGGAGGCGTGTTGCTCACGATCGAGCTCTGCGTCGCACAGACATAGGTCATCCACCACACCCGCCGCTTGGCCTCTGCAAAGAAATCGCTGTCGTCTGTCTGCGTGTGTAGCGAGAAGGATGTCATGGCCTCCATCAATGCTTGCCCTGCGCGCGTGCGCATCTTCTTGATGTTGCCTCGCTGCGCATATTCGTAGATACTGAGCAAGTCGAGGGCGATGATGCTCTCAAGCTCGACAGGGACGCGGGGGTGGAAGGGCCGATGGTCGGCCGGTGGTGGTGATGATTCGAGTGCCTTGTGCGGCTCTGTTGCCGAGTGCGGAATTTCCGATTCGGCTTCGATGGATTCAATGGCAGACTGTGCAAAAAACTGCGCACACTTACGGCGGAACAGGACGGAGTCCGGGCCGGACGGGTTTGTGTCTTCGGCACATGGGATCAGAGCGAGCACGGCCGAGAGGGCAAGGGCAATGGGTGTTGACGGTTCGAAGGCCTCTTCCAGAGGTGGTTCATTTTGCGATAGCGGGATGGGCTCGTCGACCGGTGGGGATGTCTCAGGTGGTGGCAAAATCGGTACGTAAGGGTGTATCCAGCAGTAGTAGGCCTGGAGCAGTGTGCGGTCGCTGCGATAGGTACGGACCAGAGGTCCTGACGTTGCAGGCACCGGGAGGATGCCCTGTGGTACGGACACGCCGTCGAACACGCCGGTGGAGAAGGCCGTGGGGAAGAGGCTGTCAAAAATGAAGTCGCTGTCTTGAGGCATGTCCGGCAACTGGCCGAGTCCGGCGCCAGGGTCGACATAGTTTTGCACGTCGACAGCTGAGGATACGCAGACCGTTAGAGGGAATAGTGGGCTGTTTATACGAGGGGATAGATGCACATACGCTGTTGGGATGCGTCGGGAAGCAGAAGGCTGTCAGCCTCTTGTGGATGAGCGTTCAATGAGGCGCGCGGCGGTGAGTTGGAAGCAGTCTTCTTGCGGATTCTGGGACCGCCACGTCGGCTGGGACGATATACACATTCGTTGCTCTTGGTCACGCACTAAACATCACCATGTCAGCCAAACCGCTCGTGGTCCGGATTTGTACAGGTCGGGGTGCCGAGAGAGTGGCATACTGATGTACAGGGTCGGCCCCCATCACATCGTGTCCGTGATGCACGACTGTCATGACGTTAGTTGCTTGATGTCCAGTCCATTAACGAAAGGCACGTGAACGCGCGTGCGTGGGGAGGTCGTCGCGTCGGCACGAGCAAAGACGTAATCCTTACCATGATAGACATGCGAGCTTGACCGGTGGCGTCGCAAACTTGCGCCGTACAACCCGGGGTTGATCATCCACTTCTGCCATGACCGACAATAAGATATGCGTCGCCGCAGTCGTACGCGGAGTGTGTCTGGGTGGGAGAGGAGGGGAGCGGAGTATGGAGATGAAGGAGACAACAATGTGGGATGGGCAGTACCGGTTGGTGCAACCAGTGGTCTGTGACGATACGAGTTGGCCGCCGCACCGATAGGTTGACGGCAGGACAAGAAAAAGCCAAGCACCAGAACACAATACAACCAGTTTATCAAGATACACAATGCGCAAGAGAAAACCGAGCTAGACGAGTTTAAGAGTCAGAGCGGCCGGTCGCGGAGAAGACAAAAACGAGGCCGCAGAAAATAGCCCCGACCGACGCCTTGTGGCAAAATGTGAACTGACAGGCGAGATGGTGACAAATATGACGAACAAGGTGGGCTCGGGCCGAGCGTCGAGCAGTAGAGACGGAGATGAATAATTGTGCCACAAATGCGCGCCGATCAGAAGGAGAGATTGTGATAGTGTTGGTGGCTTGAATGGATTTGAGATGAGAGAGAAGAAAGGGCTTCGGTGGCAGTAGTAATAGAGATGTTGAGAGTCGTCACGATAAGAAGCGGCTTGCTGGGCAAGGACGATGCCATTGTACAGATTCAATGCCGAGTATGCGGTGGCCGCAAGGCGAGCGATAGGAAGGAACGGGACGGTTGCAATTGGAAGACGGCAAGCACGAAGACGACGGGACAAAATAGCGTTGGCCGCCTGGATCGTGGTTGGACAAAGCCAATGCCGCCACTGCCAGGTCTCAATTGTGCCGCTGAATTGTTCCTTCCCCATACGTTTCGACGCTACAGTTTGACACAACGAGCAGGAGCGAAAGCAGACAATTGGAGACCAGAGCGCAACGAACAGCAGACCAGAGGGGCGGCGTATGTCTGCTAAAACGGTGCCAATTGCGGGGTTTTTTACTGCGCGCGATCACGTGCGGTGCAAACGAAAAAGTCGCAACCGGACCTGCCGCTGTTATGCGACGGACGGCGCTCCCAAACAGAGGTGACCCACTTCCAATCGAGAAACCTGCTCACTTTGGAATGCGTGAATTGTGAAGCATGCCATGTGGAAGCACGCACCAGGACCACGGGCCCGAGCCCCGACAAATCATATACGACACCACGCTGACTGAGCGGAGAAAAAGCGTTCCAAGAACAAAAATGTCATCCCACCGGCAAAATGAAAGTAAGAGTGCGAAGTGCGAGGTGCGAGGACGCACGCCATTCGACAGCACAAACAGAACGAGAAGAAAAGGTGCCGTTGGGAAAATGTCGGCATACACGACAATAGTCAGGCGTGAGAAAATACGTCATGATATGTCGTGACGTGCAGAGAACGAAGACAATGCCTTTGCAGATTGCTTGCGTTGTAATGGACGGACGCCATCGTAAACCCTCGCAATCAGTTGTCTATGAACATAATTGCGAGAGTACTTTACTTGGGTGCCAACATCTAGGCCACGGTATATATGCAGTACAACGTTTGGGTGTTTCAGAAGAGAATTTCAAGCAATAGCCCAATTAGACATGCCAGCTAAATGTACACGATTCCGAGTCAACGATGTGGCTACAGGATGCACGACGAAGTGTACAAGTACAAAATGTAAAAGCCAGACACCGTCCAGAGTCACAAATACAAAAGCAATTAACGGATTCAAAAACCAAGCCAAAGGCAGATGATCCAACCTCTCGTCTATATTATACCAAAGACCAACCCAACACCTACGACCGACCCTGCCGACCAACACTCTCAACACGCAGACCGAGCTTCGCACCAGCCTTGGCGTCCAGGCAGCCGCGGCCGTCAAAGACCCAACGGGGCTTGCGCATGTGGTACGAGATCTTGGCCCAGTCGAGCTTCTCCTTGGGCTTGTACTCCTCGTTGAGCTTGTAGCCCTGCTTCTCGAGCTCGCAGTCAGGGCAGGTGGAGTCACAGGCCGGCTCCTGGTGGTAGCGCTGCAGGGGGTCGGTGACCGCCTCGTCGCCGGCAGAGTTGATGAGGTACTTGTGCAGGGCTAGGATGTCGTTCTCGCTAGGCTCGGCGGTCGCGAAGGGGCGCGGGTCCGTCTTGCCTGTCTTCTTGACCGGCGCCGCGACAGCCGCCGCCGTAGGAGCGCCACCCGACTTGGCAGCAGCAGCCGCGGCCGCGGCGGCACCGCCGTTGATAGGAGGCTTGCTGCCGAACTCGTCAAAGTCGGTCGTGATCAGGACGGCATTGCTGTCTGCACAGGCCCCATAGGCGTCTGTGTAGATTTCAATGGAGCCGCCCTCGCTGAGCAGGACACGGTCACCGCCCAGAAGCGTCTTGATCTCCTCTCGCATCACCACAGGGTTGCAGCAGGGGTCAAACACGGCAATCTCGCGGGGGCCTTCTTCCAGAAGGGTCTTGATGATCTCCAGAGCAGGCGACTCGCGGGTGTCGCTGGTATTCTTCTTGAAGGCGTAGCCCAGGACGGTGGCCTTCTTGCCACGAAGCGTGTTGTTGAGGCACTTGACAACACGGTGCGTGAAGCGATCACGAGCGTACTCATTCATGGTCACGACCTGGCGCCAGTACGCCGCAACTTCGTCGAGGCCGAGAGACTCGGAAAGGTAGACCAAGCTGAGAATGTCCTTCTTGAAGCAACTGCCGCCGAAACCAATACCGGCCTTGAGGAACTTGTTGCCGATACGGGCATCATAGCCGACCGAGGCAGCGACCTCGTCGACGTCGGCGCCAGTGCGCTCGCAGATCGCAGCAATGCTGTTGATGCTGCTGATGCGCTGGGCCAGCATGGAGTTGGCAACCAACTTCGCAAGCTCGGACGACCAAACGTTGGTGGTAAGGATGCGGTTGCGTGGGACCCAGGCGCCGTAGATGCCAGCGAGCGCCTCAGCGGCACGCTGGCCGGAGGCAGTCGGAAGGGAGCCGATCAGCACACGGTCGGGGTACAGCAGATCGTTGACAGCGGTACCGGCAGCCAGGAACTCGGGGTTTGAAAGGATCTCGAAGTGGACGCCAGGGCGGTGGACAGCCATCTAGTAAAGCAGAACATAAACGAGTCAGCAATTCAGTAATCACACCATGGAAAATTGTGTCCGAGTTCACAGAGATTCAGGAGTGGGGCGACGAACCGTCTCTTGCATAAGCTGGGCCGTGCGGCACGGCACAGTCGACTTTTCCACTATGATGGCACCGGGACGCGCATGCTGAGCAACCTCGCCCGTGACAGCCTCGAAAGCAGTCATGTCGGTTGCACTGCCCGCACCAGCACCGCGGTACTTGGTAGGGGTGTTGACCGCAATGAGAACAATGTCTGCCTCGCCAATGTAACGCGAGATCTCTGTCGAGAAGAACAAGTTGGGCGTGCGCGAGGGGACCGTCTTCTTCTCCGTGTCGTCCACAGAGCACTCGCGCGAGCCGTCACGGGCAATGCGCACAATGTCGGCCAAGCCGGGCTCGTAAATGGGAGGGTGGCGCGAGTTCCAACGACGAACACGGACCGGGTCTCTGTCAACGACCACAACACGGATATGGGGATTCTGGAAGGCAATCACCGCAGCAGTAGGGCCACCTAGATTGCAGAAAAAGACCAGTGTTAGGAGCAAACTCAACATGTGACATGAGGCATGCTGGCAGAGAGGCGGTGTAAAGCGTACCGACGTAACCGGCGCCCACACAGCAGATTGTGCGGATGACGGGGTTCTGGGACGCCGAGGCCGTGCCGTTGGCGCGGGCACCGTTCGTGCGCGCATCCTCGGCGTCGACCGGGCGGACGAGGGGGCGCATCACAGGGCTAAACTCCTGGTTGCTGCCGTCAGGCGTGGTCGGGGCGGTGGAGCCGTCCATGGTGCTTTCTTCGGTGTCGACAAGGTTCAGGCGGATGCCAGAGGCCATGTCGATGAACGAACACAAAAAGATCTCGACCGGGGCAGAACGCGCCTATGTATGCGTGCCTTGACCAAGACGTGGAGAGGGAGGAAAGGGAAAGGAAAAGGGAAAAACGGCGAGCAGAGGCTCAATAGGGGGTTGGGTGATTTTGAATGTGGACACGTGTGGAAGAGGGTCCTTTTTAAAAGTGTGTAGCAGGGGTTTGGAGCACGGCGCGGTGTTAGATGCAACGAGGCCCCACTGACTCAAAAGCTGAATAAAGCTTCTATGGGAGAATCAACAACAGAAATCAAGGAACTCCAAGGCGGTCGAGGAGGGCAGAGACCTAGATTGCTGACAGCTGCGTTTAAGATGCGACGATATGACTTGAATGCTGTGAGAGACGGCCGAATTGGCACACGGCGCGTTAGAAGGAGGTAAAGACACAGGCAAAAGCACCGAGAAGCACGAACGACGAAGATAAGCCTTACCCAGAACGGTGTTGCGACTGGGGAAATGTGAAGCCAGGACAACAGTGTCGATTGTATTTTTTAGACAACCTCCCTTCCAACTGAAGACCAACAATCTTGCAAGAGTAAAGAAGGGGGGTGATAAAAGGGGCGGTGAAGGTGGGCGATGCCAAGGGTAGGGAGGCTAGATGCTGTTAAACAGCTTGAAAGGGGCGTACCTGATAGAGAGTTCCTTGCCGGTCTGGAGACAAAGAGCGAAATGCTTGGCGTATTGGGAGAGGGGGGTTGGCCTGGCTAGGGAGCCAGAAACTCAGGGGTCAGATAGAGGCAAAGCGACAATGTGAGCCGACGTGCGGCGCGCCGTCCGCGATTACGAGATTTGGATTACTGGCGCGTGGCGGCGCCGTCCAGAGGTAAGGAGTAATTGGATGCCGGAGTAACGCAACTCTGAAGATGACGATTCCGTCTGCTCCTTTGGATTTGGGCGGAATCTGGTACTTTTGGCATCCCTCCGTATTGTGTATCTTACGGAAAGAACACACCACAACGTCTGTTGTTGTACGGATTAGCCGTTCTTTCCTTCCGTGGCGCACTTATCGAATTTCAATGTCGTACTTCTTCAGTCCGCCCGGCGTTCTTTTGCCGGATTCGGAAGGCTCTGCGCTTAGGAGCGCCGAATTTTATTACTGGTGATTGCCTGTTGTTGGGACGGGATCCGACGGAATATTTTGCACAGCAGTGGGGCAGTGACAGGCAAAAGTATTACTTCGTACTTCGCATTGAGCTTTAGCAATGTTGGTACGCACTATGATTTTGGTTGAGCAAGTCACAATTTCCTAGGCTAGATGTGATGAAAATGCCCCTTTTGGTGGCGTCAACAGGGTTCTGGGTAAGGAAATATTAAAAGCGGCTGGACAAGCTGAGCAAGGCTGGACTCAAGGTACCTGGTATTTATGCTTGAAAAAGATGCCAGAGACGAGGTCGTCCAAGATGTAACAATCAATCGTGAATTAAGAGATGGCAATATCGCCACAGCAAACATTACGAATATTTTTTTCTTTGGTAGAATTACGAGCTGCCCCGTCTTCCCCAACGGGAGGGAGATGCTGTCACGTCGCTACATCCGTCCAACGCCGTATCTGCAAGGAAACAGGCGGTGTACCTTGGCAAGGGAACCTCTGGGGCCTTTGTGTGGCACCTTCCTGCGTTTCTTATTCTTAACCAAGCTTTGCGCCTCCAACCCAGTGTCCTTGAATACGAAACACACCTTTAGAAATAACTTGGCTTTTGTGACAAAGAAACTCTAGAGCAGAACGACAAATACAATCTTGTATTAGCCGGAGCAGCCAGGAGATCGCGAAATTCTGTGGTAATGTCATATTAGTGCCGCCAAAGGTTGCTAGCGCTGGGCTAGGGTCGTTTTCGATGGCATCCCTTTGGCAATCAGCCCCCTGAAACCAAACGACGATGCAAAGTGGGGTGAAAGTCCTGTGGTGTGTTGAAAGTTTTTGCATCCTGTACAATGGCAATTTCTGTTCTCTTGGCCAAAACAGTGCAATGACGTGTTGATACTTGATAGAAACGAAACGACAATCTAAACTAATAGCATCACGGTCCACAAACCCACTTCGGTTAGATGCAGTTGATCTCAAGAATCTCAACATACATCTAATTTTTCGACATCCGACAAGATCTTTATCGTATTAAGTGGGCATTTATGTTGTAGATAACCATCAGTCTCCACGACATACTACGGAGTAAGTGACTTTACCAATAGCATTTTACAGCTCTCGAGTTGTTTGTCTACTTTACGTGGACTTGTAAGACACTTGCAAATCGGTTCCTACGACGTATGCCTAGGCACGCCCATCACCCGCCATGGCAGACGGAAGACAGTATGGCGGCTTGGTAGACAAATAGACGAATACAATTTGCAAGACGCGTAACGCGCATCATTACAGGGTAAGGTTTATAAAGCATCGCGAGCGTTATGGATGACAATGAAGCGGCCCCACAGTCACACTTATCGATTATCCAACGCTCCCGGGCGGAAGGTCCGCTTTCGCCCGGCATCCAACACAAGACCCTGATCACAGCCCTGTAGAAAAACGCAATGGTAACAGAAAAGCGGACACAAGACAAATGGAGTGTGGCGGCAGCAGGCACTGGCTGCGTGGCTGAAAGAGATCCCGAGGACAGTCCGCAGGAGCAGACGAGACTGTCACGGGAGGCGAGAGTCGAACACCAACGGAGCAGGCATCAACGCTGGCCAAAGGCGCGGACACGGGGGCCCAGGCGACACAGCCGATTCGATGCGCCTATTTGTGAGACACTGACATTGCATTCCTCTGTCGCTTGCTCCTGCGCGTGGAACAGTGGCCTAGAGTGGTCAGTCACGCTGGCGGTTTGCCGTGACAGAACCCCAAAAATCCACATCAGCCACAGCCTTGGGGGCCTGTGTGCAGGATCTGCGCTCTCTGATTGGCCACTTTCGACCGCCACGCCGACCGTCTTTCGCATCTGATTTGCCCTCCCATGCATAAAGGCCCAGACCCAGCTTGACGAGATAGATAAGTCCGGCGTAACAATATACATTTTCTTGCAGCTTACCTGCTTTTAACGGTCGAAAAAGCCCATTGTGTCTTTGTTTCTTTCCTGAAGGCATTGTGAGACAATACGCCAGTAGGTGCGTTTCTGGCGTCCTGAACTCGGTCGCTGGCCCAGTCACACGCGCTCTTTCCTTGTCAGATGAGAGAGAAGGAGCAATCGAAGAGGTGCCTTGCAAATTCTACATTCTGCAGTCGCGCAAAGAACGCTCGCTTCCGCATCTTGAGCTCTTGCTGCACCACTCTTTTCCTTTCAGGGATCGACGCGGACTCCGCCGCGAGATATTCCGACTGAAATGCGGCCGTCCACGGCCTAGCACGCCTAAATGACCGAAAGGGGAGGCAAGTAGCTCAGCGTATCTGCAGTCATGCTCTTCCAATCATTCTGGCCTCAGCTGTCACGATGTCGTACGCACCGCTCTATTTCGCACATATGCGCTTCGCATGTTGCCCCTCCCCACATACCTCGTGCCTTTGTGCTGCCACTCCTGTCCTTCCCCATCCTAATTGTAGAACCCCACTAGATGTTTTATGGCAGCTTCGTTCCTTCCAGATCAGTACGTCTGTAGTCTTGACTGTCTGCATCATATTTGTATTTGTATTTCCCATATCCCCCCTTTGCGCGTGCCCCGCCAGGGTCCTCGACTCTGTCCTGACCTTTCAATCTCACCACCTAGTCTTCGCTTCAATCACTTCGCTGCCCCCATCCTATTGCCTCCTGGCTGCTATGACGTCGGTCCTGTCCTGATCGATCCCACCTACCTTGCAACGACCATCAACATTTACATCGCACCACATTGACGAATCCTCCGGCCCAACAAAATTACCTGGTCACATTTTCGTGCGCGGCAGCGTCCTATTATTGCCATTCACATTCCTTTATTCTTTCTTGCACCATAACGCATCAGCCATTACTGTGGTCTCTGAGGGGTACGTACAAGGAGAGCAATAAAAACGTGGCCAGCCGCCAACGAGCGGGCCACCGGACTGACGTTGCAAAACTACCAGTCAGCGCATCTTGTTCGACCAATTATCTGACGAATCGTCAGTCTAGGCCTGCAGATATACACCAACACTTTCACCATTTGGACCAACAGCCCAGCGCAAGGATAGATATTTGGACCACGAGATATGGCGAACAAAGACGGTCCATCGGTGACGATGGTCGAAGATACAGCCACAACAACATTGAGTGCGGCGGCTCAAGGCCCTGCCCATGATCTTTCAGTGTTTCCCGAACGCCTGCGTGGAAAGCGCATTCTCCTCTGCACAGAGTCCTTTGGCCCCGTCAACGGCGTCTCACGCACGACATTGATGCTCGTGAACCACCTACGTGCACATGGCGCAAATGTGGGTGTTGTCGCTCCGCACAACCACACAAAAGTTAACACCTTTGTTCCGACCGTCGTCCCCGAGACTGCGTCAACAGACGACGTGCCAGTGAACCCCGAAATCCGGATCCATGGTTATCCCTTGCCGTTTAACCCGGAGCTCTCGATTGTCTACCCCGTCCGCCTCTCCGCCCTCTGCGCACGCACTTTCAACGGCCACAAGCCGGACCTTATCTACCTTGCAAGCCCAGCCTCGCTTGGCTTTCAAGTCATGCTACAGGTGCGCCAGCAGCCGACCGAGAACCAAATCCCTGTCTTGGCCAACTTCCAAACCGACCTGTCTGGCTACTGCGCCATTCTCTTCCCCGCACCCTTCAGCGACTTCGCTGTGTACTGCTTCGCCCAGGTCGAGGGCTTCTTGTTCCGCCACCCATCCGTCAAGACCATCTTCTACCCGAGCCGTTTCGTACGTCGCTACCTGGAAAAGAACCGCGTAGCCCCCGAAAAGATGCAGCTGCTGCGCCGTGGCGTCAACACGGACATGTTCAACCCCACCCGCCGCAACGAGGTGCTTCGGCAAACGCTGGCTCCCAACGGCGAGATCATTCTTGTGTGTGTGGCCCGCATCGCTGGCGAAAAGGGTTTCGACTTCTTGGCCGCCGTTGCTACAGAACTGGACCGGCGAGGACTGGCATTCAAGCTATACATTGTGGGCGGCAACCGGAACACGGCCGTCGAGGACGAGGTCAAGGATCTATTTTCCGAGCTGATCCAAAAGGGCAAGGTTGTTTTCGCGGGCTTCCAGGTCGGCGAGACGCTGGCTGAGTCCTATGCTTCGGCTGACATGTTCCTCCACTGCTCCATCACCGAGACGTTCGGTCTGGTGGTTCTCGAGTCCATGGCGAGTGGCGTGCCGGTCATTGCTCGTGACGAGGGTGGCCCGAGCGATATTGTTGACCACGGCAACACGGGCTTCCTGGTGCCGCCCGCCGACCTCGAGAGCTTCGTTAGCAAGGTGCTTTTGCTGGCGGGCGATTCGGACCTGCGCTCGAAGATGGGCGGTGATGCTCGGCGGCAGGCGTGTGACGCGACGTGGGATAAGATCAACAACACGGTTGCATGGCGCATGCTCGATGCCATTGAACAGCGCGACGCGGCCTTGAAGGAGGCGCAATTCGAGGGCTTTGAAGAAGACCCACAGGAGTCGGCCCGCGAGAGAGAGCCACTGTTGGGCTATCCCTCTGGCACAAAACTGACAGCCGCTGAGATGGCAGCTGCCCGGAAGAAGCTGCAGCCTCCGTCGTCGTGGCAGGCGTGGGCTCAGAGCATCGACACTAGCTTGGTGGATGCGCGGCTGACGGCTGGATTGGGCATCATCCTCGGGTTCTGGGGCATCGTTGGCGTCTACCTCATTTTCATCAAAGCGGCCCTGTGGTTCAAGGGCCGCGTGCGGGTGGGCGTGTGAGCTGCTCATCCTTTAATTTTTTTGGGCTGGTCCAGGATAGGTATGCGTAATGGTTGATGACCGCAATTGCATTGGAGGGAGGGTCAGCTTGTCATGCCCATTTCCATTTTGTTTATCTTTTCTTTTCTTGGTGTTCCGCCGCCCGGTTCCATTTTCGTTCGCCTTTTTTCTTTGTCAGTGTGATATTGGTCCTTTTCGTTTCATTTCTTTCCTCCAGTTTTATGAAAGGTTGGCGACACGTTATAATACCCTACGTTGGTTTCTATTGTTATAGCATCAATCATGCTTGTTTGATTCCGTTTTGGTTCTCCTGTTTTTTATTGTTCAGACGAGCAAGTTTGGTTTTATTAGAATATTTGTTATGAGCGTCCTTCATAGTCCTGCAACCATTCATGTCGCCCATGGTGCACAACCACTTCTTGATAGGCCATGGAATAAGACCTATCCGCTCGCTGAATTCATTTGTTCCCTTTGACCAGCTGCACGGTTTTGTTTCCCAAACGTACTCTTCTCGTCTGTGGCTTGGCTCTCCCCCATTGTCAACAATAACGCACAGTAATGCAATGCAGCATAAACAAAATCCCGAACCACGCTCTCGGAGAAAGATAAGGCGGGTGTCATACGAAGCCAACAATGGTGGCTTACGTGGGCAGTGAGTGCATTTCGTCGCGGACTTCTTTGGTCTATTTTTAATTATTATAACCAGCATCTGCTTCAGATATGTGATGACGAGCGAGCTCTGCCACAAGGCAGTCTCTTCTTCATGACCACTCTGACAAAGCAAGTAGCTACCACCATCCCACGTTCCTTTTGTGACTTGATTTCTTCACAGCTCACTCCGTAGTTCTCCACGACGTACGACGTGGGAGTGGTGCACTGCATGTTCCTGTTTGATTAAGGGAGATTGTGTTACAGCAGAAATGCTAGCCTCGGAGCCTGCTCATTCCATCTAGCCTCGAGTATAAGCGCTCTCTGCTTTCTTTCTGTTGTCTCTTTTGATCGCGATGTTTTGGGTGGCGTTTCCGGCCTTACTTTTAACGCGACCAGGAGAACAGCACCTTGAGTTCTCTCTCGTAGCCCAGATTAACATAGATCTGCCGAGAAAGGCCTTTGCTCGCAGCCACTGTGGCTAAAATATAAGGGCCGGCAGATGCTGTAGTGGTTGTGTTCCTGCAGCACGCGTCACAACGTTCCATCGGAATATGGAAAGTTTCAGACAAGGTTTGCGCCAGCAGGAGCTTTTATTGCCAGCCCAAAGTACCACACCCGCCGGTCTTCTTGTCGTCCATGATATAAATTTAAAGGGTCGAGAATTCAGATACTTGGTCGAGAGAGCGACGCGACTTGCACACGTCACCATCAAAACGTGACTCGATTCGGCACCTTTCCGAACTTCTATCCTGCCATATCTCGGGACATAAACGTCTCCCAATTTGTTGGTGCATCGCTCTTACCCTTTGCCTTGTCGTCCCTTCTCTATTTTATCCTCCTGCGTTCCTTACTTGTGCACAGAAATTTATGAGACAAATCTACACAGCCACGTATACTACCAAACTATGCGTTCAAGCCACGAAGCGGTCGTTCGTGCTTTCCTCCGTCGTCGTTCAAAGAGCCTCTGTTTTGACGTAAAGAGCTCCTAATGCAAACACTACGGGGCTGTTTCGTGCAATTATGGCCAATCACAGGTTGTAGTTTCGACGGACAGGGCTCTGATGCGCATTGTGATTCACGTTGTGAGCTGGCCAACACCTGAGGCTTGGCGGCTGTTTTGGTGGTCTGGACCCCCCTAATTTGATGTTTTTGCCTTGTCCCACATCCACCCCAAGCTCAGACTCGTGCTGTTACATCGTCGGTCGATCCGACACGCCCCCTTTCCACCAGGTACATTACCCCTTACGAAGTTCTCTCTCTGACATCTCCGGCAGCACAAAATTATCGCTGTCACCCTCATGTTTTCTCACAATGACGAAGCTGAAGCACTCGCTTGACTTGCTTGCACCCCTCTTTGCCTCTGAAGCGAAACCCCTTCTAGTCACAACACGCTCGACTGGTGGCAGCACGTCTGCGCTCGCCGCACTTCTGCCCTAGTCTGTAAGTTGTTCTACCAGTGTCCAATTCGTATCTTGACCGTCTCCAGTCCTTGCTGCAAACAGTTGAACGCTGCATTGGTCCTGGCCGCTCTTGCATCGCTCCCACACCCAAAGGCAAGGCCCCCGGCAGTCAGTCTCCTTTCTTGATTCTGAACCGAGACTCTCTTTGTCTTGCATGTTTGGAACGTTCTGTGCCAACGATGGTCCACTCATGGCCCCATTCCCCATCACCCTGAAGCAAATGCTCTGCAGCCCGACACATCATGGCGGGTGGCTAGCGGCTGCTCATTTGTATTGAGGTGAACCCCGGCTCTCTCTCACGATGCATAACAATCATTGTTTCCATGCACCTGTCGACGTTGTATCGCACACCGTGAGGCTTACCCTGTATATGGTGTACTCCGTATCCTGCTGCTTCTCTCACACAACCCCCTGTGCCTGTCCATCTTTTTTTCAAGTCTTATCGTGCTTGGGTCTTCTCTTCGTACTTCGTCCTGCGGACTTCCTCTTCTTTGCTCTCTCTTCCTAGTACTTCTCTTTATTATCCCGACTGGTATCGGACTCCGTGCTGTTTACGTATGACAATCCGAAACGCCATCGTCTTTCTTTGTCTCTTACGCCCTTCGTTTCTTGAACTCCTTTTTTTCTCTTTACCAGCAGGACGGTCCATCATACCCAGATGGAAAGCAGAAACGATCGCTAACGCAGGTCTGTTCGGCTCTTCTCCCTCTACATTCCTTTGTAATCTGTGTCTTCCATTCTTCCATTCACTCTCTGCCTCTTTCTTCCCTTTTCTTCTTTTTACTCCTGTATCCACATACCGCTCTATTCGACGACACTGCGTGTTTGTTCTTACTCTCTGCGACCACCGGCCCCAAAGGCAAGCGGAGAGTCCGCCGGTATCAAACGACGACAACGAAACCCATATACAGTTCTTACAACAACGCAATCTTTCTCTTCGTGCGAGACACATCGCAGGCCAGAAATAGTCGCCGCCGGACGGACTCGACACGACTCGATCAAACTTTTAATATACGTTTTTATACAACACTTTGTCAACAGACCGATACAAACACAAGCAGCAGCCATGCTCTGGAAGCCAATTGTCGTGGCGTCGGTGCTGGCCAGACAGGCCCACGCCGGTTTACGGGGAGTCGTCGCTAGTGACGCTCTGGCCGGACGCACGACGCATGATTGGGAACGAAGGATGGCCGCTGCACTCGCTGAAGAGGCCAACTATGTACCACGCGTTGTGGTCAAGCGCGCTGAGACAAATGCCACGGCGGGCACGACGATGACGACGACGACAGCCGGCACTGGTGTCGTCCTAAACGCCGACGGCACGATCAACATGACGGCATGGGACAACACCGCCACGGCCGCCTGCAACGCGGCACTCACCAAGCTCCCTGAATCGTCTAACCCGTCGGGCACTTGCATTTGCTACAATCTTCCCGCACTGGACAACACCACTGGCACCTTCGAAGCCGACCTGCGGCTGTTCCAGCTGTCGACCCCTTCGGGCGAGTTCGAGGGCATCCCGCCAGAAAACATTCAGGTCGGCCTCAGCTACGCCAGTGCTTCGGTGTCACCTGTCTCGGTGGCGTCTGCGTCAAAGCTGGTCGTAGGTCGTGCCGACACGTCGGCCAACGGCAGCCTGCGTCTTTTGCAACAGTACCTCTTTGTCGGCCAGATCAAAAAGGACATAATGACGCCCAACATGAACACGTAAGTGAACTTGTCCAAAATGGGTTTGTAATTTGTTTGCCTTGCGAGTACTGACTCTGAACAGGGCTCAGCTTGAAGCTCTCGTCATGCCTGTCTTGACACTTACCGGCACCAACAGCAACGGCAAGACAGTTTCCACCAACGTGTCGTCCAATGAAGCTGCCTTTGTGGCCGGCGTGTTCAGCTCGACCGTGGTCATGTCCACCACTGCGATTGCCCAGGCAGCCGTTAACGACTTGCTCAATGGCCTTCATAACGGCACGGTCGCCTTCGTGCTGCCGGGTGTCCAAATTATTACATTTCCCATCGGCCTCATCATCATCAGCGTTTGGCTCGCCGTCGCTCTTGCATTCATCGGCTTCGGCATGGTCGAGCGCATCTCCTACCGCGAAACATATAAGCGGCGCACCGCCATGTCGACCAAGCCTTCGACGAGCAGAATATAGACGACCCCGGAAGCCATTTTTTCACGAAACAAAGAGGGGGAGACTGAAGGACCCTCCAAACCAATTACAAATGGTATATACCACACATTGTGTGAGCGATCCGTTTTTTTATTTGCTTTTTTTCTCTCACGGAGGAGGTGCAGCAACCAACAAAAGGGTAGCAAAACCTGCAAGATGAGCACTGTCACGGGCATGTGCTATGAAATCAACGGCCGATGGTGGTGCCATTGGCTCTCCTCTTTCTGTTCAGAAACAGTTTTGTCCGCCATAGGAGCCCAGGGCCTTTATCTCCCTCACCTTTGTTGCTGATTCAAGTTCTTTTGGTTGCGCTCCTCATTGAACTTCCACCCGCTCTCTACTTACAATATATGTTTCTCTTCTTCTGTCTATACATTGGGCGGCGATTGATTCCCGTCCACACCCTTCCTCTTCTAGCGTTTTTCTACTGTCCTCGCAAGCGTCTTCAATTCTTTGTACATTGTACATATAACTTAAATTCAAAGACTGTTATCGTTTAGAGAGAGCAAAAACTGGTGATTGGTACCCGCCACTGGTGATGGCCGAAATTGAGAGCTGGATAAACCCTACAATAAAAACCTGCGATTGTTACAAATGAACGGCCTTCAATGGGCCCTGAAGCTGTTTCTCATGTAGAGCTCGTCGGTATTCGTTTTTATCAACGCAGCCAGTCAAGGCCAGTGCCAACACAGCCAATCTTTTGGTCTGAAACTGCTCAAGAAACAGTTTCTACTTTCACGCCCGCCAACGCCATTCATGCGGCTTTCCGAGGTTTGCTTCAAAGGCATGTCAAACAGAATGCCCAGGCTTTGTTATTGAACATTTTCTTTTTTCCAAATGTAGAGCCGCATAAAGACACAACGTGAAAACCCTTGAGCTACAAGACATGGCGGGCATTTTCTTGCCGTCCCTCGTACCATCCGGCCCCTGATTGGCTATGTGCTGCTGCCGGAAACTCGAGATGTTCGAGATCGAGCCTGGCCCCATTATTTTTTTCGTCACCCTTGACAGCTCTATTTTTACTTTTTCAGAGGGGGATGCACTACCAATAACACACTTGTTACCATTTTACATATTAAGCTGTATCTTTCAGATGAAAATGTTCACTTTGGCGGGATGGAATAAATCGAAATAAAAAGTCTCAAAAATACAGGAATTTTGACACCCTGAATAGATGTTGTGTTCTCAGAGAGACGTTGAAAGTAAAGAGACAAGAAAAAATCTCAATGAGAATGAAACTTTCGGTACTGCATTTCAACCCACCTTGGGCCTCTTTGCGAATAAGCGCTTCAAGGATTCCGCATAAACAGGAGTAACCAGGCCTGCCTACCAAGCTCGGCCTCGACCACTCGATGACCCCCCTCCCCGTGTATAAGTTCCTCGCACAAAAGCACACCCTAATACAGGAAAGCTTTAACCCACGGTTTTCATTACAGTTCAGGGTACCTGATCTGCTAGTTGGCTATATCAGTAACCTTTTTGTATGAACTCTATATATTTTGCAACTTTGAATTTGTTTCTTTCTCCCCCGTCTCGTCTTTCGTTTAATTATTCTACAACAAACCAGACAGCTCGGCCTGCCTGCAAATATTCTGGAGATAGTATATTTTGGCATTATTCCGGAGGACGCATTCTGAAATGCACCTTCCTCAAAAGACGAACTCGTATTTCTCACTTTAACAAAGAAGGAAAGAACACCCCTTCTTTCCTAAGATGGTCGACGTCTCCCAGCTCGTCTCGCAGATGCACGAGACGCTATCGAGCATCCACAGCACCATCTCGTCTCTCTCTGCGCTTGATCACCAGTCACGCCTTGACGAACTCGAGCAGAGTCGTGCAGCTGCTCTTGAAGCTTTGCAGTCTAGCTTTCGCCTTGAATCGGATGATCTTGCTCGCAAACGCAAAGCCCAACGCGATGCTTTGGCTGAGCAGCGACGCCGCGAAGATGAAGAGCGCGAGGCTCGACGCCGCCAAGAAGATGAAGCGCTTCTCGCACAAGTTGTCGACGAAGATCGTGGCCGGCATGGAAAGCTGGACGTAGACGCGCGCGAGGTTGAAGAGTCGACGGAGACAATGATGGGACGTGTCGAAGAAGAGGCCAAGCAGGTGCTCGACGAGGGCAAGGCGAAGCTGGCAGCATTGGAAGAAAGACGGAAGGTAGGAGAATGTCCTCAACCAGCTCCAAAAAGAAAAAAACAGACGACAAGTACTTACCTCTCGCAGGAACTCAACCGCTTAATTGATGAGCAGCTCCAGCTTCCGCTGCCATCTGCACCATCACGCCGCAAGTCGGGAGAACGGTCGCTTCCTAAAATAGTGGCCCCCAGCAGTAGGTTCATCCCCACGAATACCCGTTTGGCGGGCCATATCAATAACAACCTTTCTTTACGTTGTATAAAAGGCGCCTAACCTGGATGTGAGCCACTGTGTTGTTTTCTTGTTCAGACCCAGTGGACACCTTTGACAATCGCGATAACCACGGTGATGGTGACCGAGATGGCCTTCCAACGGCGACGACCACCACGACCGAGGGTATCGCAGCGAAGAAATTGGTGCAAGAAACCGACGTCGTCCAACAAGGTTCCGAACCGGTCTCTTCTACTGTCCAGACGGAGTCCATCCCTGAGAAGGAAACACAGTTCCATGAGAATCAAAATTGCCCTCCCGATGCGACACCATACGTTGTACCGGGAGAATTCCCATCCTCCGCACTCCAGTCACCCGTCAGTGACAATATAGCCATCAGCGCTGTTGACAAGGCCCTCACGGAACCACAACAAACCACTGAAGATGTCATCTCGGAGAAAGACGTCGAGTCAGACGCCTCAATGATAGTACCAACCGAGAACGTTCCCGAGCAGTGGCTTGAAAACTGCGATCAGCAATCAGAACAACAACAAGAGCAGTCACACAGCGAAGACAACAAAACTCGACATGAGGGACCACCGGTTTCCATCACTGCAGAGAGCATAGGACATAGTGACCAATCATCTCAGATCGAGACCGAGGAACAGTCCGCGGTTGGTGATGCCACAGAAGTGCGGGGCGCCGAAGACACCCTTGGCGGCCACAACCTAGAAACGCATAACGCACACCTCGAAGACAATAGTAGTAATGACGATGGACACGGCGATGGCGATGCCACACCTACAATCGAGTCCCACGAAAGCATCCAGCAAGAAGACGGACTAAACGTTGATGGGACGGGGGCACCTGTCTCTTCTGCCGTGCATTCCAACATCCCAAGCATTTCTATTCACACGGCAGACATGACCGAAGAGTCTCTTCGTGAGGTCTCTGACGGTAAGAAAGATGAAGACAAAGAAATCGCCGACAATTCACCTGCTGAAAAGGAGTCTGGCAAAGAAGGTGCGCAGGCGTCTCGTATTGGGCTTGTTCAAGAACCAAAGGAAGAGCATGGGAACGCGCACTTCGATCCTCCGAACACCGTCTCATCTGTATCTTCAGATGCTCAAAGTCCAGAAGAGGAACCTATCCACCAGGGCACCATTGAAGCCTCAGAAACCCAGATTTCCGTTGAGTCGGCCTCTTTCACTTCCGACGAATTAGAAGCGTCGTCAGCCAACGACATGTCGGGTGAGAGGCATTTGAACCATTATCCAGATATGAGTGTACACGAAGAGAGCGTTCCAGAGATTCCCCATGAGATGGCACACGAAATTCTACAAGGCGAAGCCGTCCATCCCGAAGTTTCGCATCCAGAAGTCACGACGGAGGACGCTCTCGCTGGGCAAATTCTTGAAGACAAAGACACCACTTCATTGGTGAATACTGAGCAAAGGATCAATGTTGACTCTTCGACCTCTTCTCAAGTCTCGGAAATGCCACCGGTTATCAAAGATGTCGATTTAGAGTCACAAGAACAGGCTAAGCCAGAACCCCCATTTCCATCTGCCCTCAGCCCAACAGGAGGGCCTAACATAGGCCCACCAAATGACCAACAACAAGATCTTGCGGTTATCGTACGGGACGCAGCTGCCCGCGAGATCATTGATGATGAGATCGTACACAAAGATGCTGTCGACAACGAGATCATTGAACAAGATCCGGGGCCAACTTCAGACGCGACCGAGCAAATAGAGGTTCAGGAAGAGGCGCATAAGGATACCGCAAATGACGCTGTTGCTTTTAACTACGAGTCTCCACCCGACAATACGGACGCTTCTGCGTGGCACTCCCAGGAGCGATACGTCTCTCAAGATGTGTACGCTGACCCACACGCAGCAGCTCAAGAGTATGTCGACTACGGAAGAAGCTACTATGCATCGGCTCAGCAAAGCCTCGATCCGTCTCCGGTCCTCCAAGAGGTCCACGAGATTCCTGATGCTGTCGAAGATTCTGTCGTCAGCGAAATCACAGCCTTTGTTGGAGAGGAGGACATGCACACTGGCCACAGTACCCTAAGTCTCCACAAAGAGCTTGAGGAGCTTCATGGAGAAGAATATGACGAAGATATGGAAGAAGAAACCGGAATACCGTCCTCTCCTAACACATTCCATGAAGTAGATAAAGACATTGTCCCGGAGGCAGAAAATGCAGCAACGATGCACGGCCAAGATGACCTCTTTGACGATGACAGCGAAGAGTCGGCTGGATCTATAGACTCTTCCGACTCAGCAAACCCAGAAGAGTTAGCGGGTCAAGATCAGGATACCAGCCAAGAGGATGAGCTTGTGCATGAATCCTTGCCACACCAAGAGCATGACAACAGGCTTTTCGAGCGACTCGATGAGGAACCGTATGAGGTTTCCCAGGACACCGAAGTACTCCAGACGCCAACTACGATTGTGGGCGACTCCCACAGTGTTAACACGGTGACTTCTCCGGAAAATGAGCGCCCCGTCACACCAGACGCTTCTACGCCGCGGGCATCTCATTTCAAGGGACTTGCCAATAGCCGGCATGCACCCAAACAACAACAACATGAACCTGTAACACCTCCTCGTCAGACAGCCGTGCACAACGACGAGGGTTTTGATGGCATTGATTTTTTGCCCCGTGATGTCACACATGTTCCGTGGCAAGAGCGTGACGGCAGCATCGACGCCACTCCTGGTTCGGTTCGCAGTCAAGCAACACTATCAACGTCTGCTTCGTCATCCTTCGGCACCCCATCACCGTGGTCTGCTGGAACCGTGACGACAATGACGCCTGGAACAGGTGCCATCATTAGTGGAAATTCGGTTCCTCAGGACGATCCGTTTATCCGCGCCAGCTGGTCCAGCTCACCAGAAGGAGGTCATGGCAGTGGCTACAGTCATGGTGACGACCATGATATCATTCCTAACCGCGGAAAGTCCATTGGCCAGCTCAATTACAGCTACAACGGTCGAGCTGTCAACGACCCCGAGAAGAAGGATGTCGTTCTAGCTGCCAATCTAACGCCGCAGCCAAACAACAGCCGGCCAAGCTCGGCCGTCGCGACGTCGTCACCTACTAGTCTTTTCCAGCGCATGAGAAACATTTTTGAGCCGCCACAAAATGGTACCGCACAAGGCACACCAGTTAAGCCAGCGACACCAGCAGCCAGCTCAAGTGATGCGTTTCCGGCCATAGGTAATACACCAAACCGGCCCGTAGACCGAGGCTTCCGTGGCGGCACCCAAGCGATGGATAGCCACCGACTGGGTGATGGCGCAGGCGTTGACGATCTGGACGCGGACGACTTGTTCAATGAGAAAAGCTCCCTCTTGCAAGCCTCTGCCATTGACATGCCGTTGCATTGACCACGCTCGGGTCAGTTGGAGAAGTCAGAGGCCCCGGTGCAGACCAAAATTATGCGGATTGTCCAGGAAGTGAGCGTCGATGAAGATGCTGCCTTTGTTGATAATGGTGAAAGAGCCGGCAATAGTACAGGTAAGAGGGCAAAGAGTCCATTCCATCTCGCGTGGTACCGTGCCGAGGGCTGGCGCCTTCAGCTCCGGATGAGCGGTGACATTGTTGAGTCCTGCCGCTGGACCTGGCGTGTTGATGACCAATTGCTGATGCGAGCCGGAGAAGAGGCAGGAGAGACAGGTGGTGAAAGGGGCGGTATCAGTAGAGGCGGACGTGTCAACCGCGTCCCCCAGATCGTCGCCACAGTACCATCAGCCATGCGTCGGCAAGCAGCCACGAGAACAACTCCGATGGCCAGGACGGAAGTGGGAAGAGCGGACACATCAAAACCGCTACCGCCACTTCCAAGACCTCGTTGGCGTCCGCCAGGACGGGTCGTTCATTGGGAGGATTTGGGTTTCGGCCGAACGGGGAGCAGTCGACGTCAAAGGAGCAGATCACCACCATCGACGAACGCAGACCCAGTCGGGCCACAACTGCGGCGCTCCAAGAACATGACGAGTAGGTCATTAAAATAGATGGGTGCTAGATAGCCGTTTAATAATACAAGTTTAAGGCTTTGTGTTATATATACGTATTTTTGCATTAAAAAGTGACATTTTATTTCCTGCCTTTTTTTTTAGAAGGAAATAAAAAAAAAACACAAGCACCAAAGTTGAATTAATATTATTTTGACTCGCTCTTTCAACGGAACACATTCAATAAGACGGCCTTCATAAACTTTTTCTCTTCTTTTGTCCCGTTTCCGTCCCCTTATAAGTTTTGACATAAAACAGCGCATCACAGCTTTTGTCGCTTATTCCCCATTCACTAAACAAACGTATTTAACCGGAAGGAAGGCCATTGGCTGTTTTGCCACTAATTCCCACCACCGCGTATTGCCTCCAAAGCTACTGACTGCTATTCCGCTCTCTATCCAGTGTATCGGTAGCCCGGTCCTGGAAGCCTCTGGATGTTCCGTCTTCCCACAGCACAATGGGACTCCAAGCCGGGTAAATTGTAACCTTCGTGACCTTCCGCGACTGGACCTTCCGGTACCGACCAAACTAATGGACCTACAGGCGGGAAGGCGTGGCATTGTATCCGATATCCAACTCCAGAAATTGTAGGCGCAACACTGCATTTTCGTAAGATGCTATTTATGGTGATGAGCCATACACTGGTTCCAGCATCCGGGTGCAAAACACCTGGGACTCGTGGAATAGCCAGTTCAGATACAATAAACGGCGAGGGATCTCCGTATCTACGTCGCACAGAATTGACTGTCCGGAACTCCCCTTGTCGACATACGTTGTCAATCACATCACCATATCCTTACATCCAACGACATCAGCATCATGAAGCTTATCATCTCCGTTCTCGGAGCATTGGTCGGTGTTCACACCGCCCTGGCCGGCCCAGCTCTCGGCACTACCGTTTACGACGACCTCTTGTCACCCGTTGCGCCTCTGAGTCATGCAACGGAGAGCCTTGTCCAGGTCACCGACTTTGGCCCGAACCTGTCCAACACCGAGATGTACATCTACGTGCCCGCTAAGCTGGCAGATAAGCCCGCCATCATTGTCGCCATTCATTACTGCACCGGCACGGCACAGGCCTACTACAAAAACTCGCCTTATGCGCAACTCGCAGACCAAAAGGGCTTCATCGTGATCTTCCCATCATCGCCATACAACGGCACATGCTGGGACGTCAGCTCGCCCTCCGCTCTCGTACACAACGGCGGCGGTGACAGCAACTCGATTGCCAACATGGTGACGTACACATTGGACAAATACAAAGCGGACCCGGCCAAGGTGTTTGTCACCGGAACGTCGTCAGGCGCCATGATGACGGTACGTCTCATTTGAACCTCGTTTTTGCATCGTTTGCCGCCGTATCTAACAACTCATAGAACGTCATGGCTGCTGCGTACCCCGAAATGTTCGCTGCCGGCATCGTCTACTCGGGCGTACCAGCTGGTTGCTTCTACAGCCAAGCTGGCGGCGTCGACGCCTGGAATAGCTCGTGCGCCAATGGCGAGATCAACAGCACACCGGCCATCTGGGCAGGCATCGTCGACGCCATGGACCCGGATTTCTCGGCCAAACATCCGACGAGCGCCGAGGCCATTGCGGCCCGTCCCAAGATGCAAATCTATCACGGGAGCGCCGACGACATTCTGTTCCCGCCCAACTACAACGAGACCATCAAAGAGTGGTGCGGCGTCTTCGGCTTCGATCCAAATGCGCCCGACACCACTCAGGTTGACGTGCCTCAGGCCGGATACACAACGTACACATGGGGAGCTGGCAAGCTGGTCGGTGTGTATGCACAGGGTGTCGGCCACACGGTGCCTATTCGAGGCGCGGATGACATGACATACTTCGGACTGTAGGGCGCAAAGGTTGGCAAAAGGTGTAAACTGAACGGGGTTGTTCAAAACGTATCAATAAAAGAGCAAATAACTTTAAGATGTTAACGAGATCTTGGTTGGTTCAGCAATGATCGACCGACACTCAATTGCCGGTCGTTAAAAACGGAAAACCAATCAAGCCGAGCGCCCAATGCGCAAGTGCAATAACAGAGGAATTAAAACCCGCGTGTGAAAATAAATCGAAAATCGACAGGGTGTCGTTTGACCGTCGAAATTGCAGGGCGGACGGCGCGGATGAACGACCACAATAGTCAAAGACGTGAGATGAGCGGGTGTGGGACCGAGGCGCGTGCAAACAAGGGGGCGAAACGGTAAAGAATGGGCACGTTGTGTGTCGTAGAAAGAAAAATAAATACCGGAAGTAATTGCGTCGTAAACAAAAAGGGAATCCTGTGGTCCGCACGTGACAATGCCACGTATTCGCAGTACCGTCGTTTCAGCTTACTCATCTGTTGCCCCGACGACGCATCCACCCCTACCACACACAAAACGGTGGTAAACAACACAGGCTCGCTTTCCTCCACTTTGTGGCGCCCGCCCGGTCGCTACCAAAGTAACTTGGCAGCATGATGAACCCGCACACAGTCTGCCAATATCACTCACGCTCAGTCACATTCTATTCGCTTTCCTTCCCATTAAAACCGAATGCTATTGAGTCCACCCACACATTTGCGACATTGCATTTCTCTCAAGCGGAACGAGCGATCATCTTCTTTCATTCTCCACGTTCATCAACACGACCTCTTCCTTTGATTCTCCTCCTGCTTTCCTTTCTTTTGTACTTCACAGTACGCTTTCTTCCTCATCTCTCGTCCTCCGTGCCAACTCGCCTTCTGCCTGTCATCCTGAGATGCTCTGCTTCTGCAGGGCCTGCCGACCCCGGCTTGATTGACAACCCCTCGATCGCCCTTTCCAAATTTGACTGCGAAGCATCTTTCTCCATCAACGACTTTGCCCAGCTCAAAGCTGCGACGAGACAACCTCGACACCACTGGGAACACTACTTGGAACCGCCGTCCGATCGCCGCCAGATTGACATTATCGTCACCGAACGCAACTGTGCAGCCCATCATGGACGCAAGTTACCTGTCCCAGCAGGTCAACGGCATTATCGACCAGCTCCACGGCCTCTTTGACGAGATTGGTGTATCGAATCATGAGCGGGAAACCCGCGAAGAGGAGGTGCGTTGTTGACTTCAAAATTGTACCTAGTAATAGTGCTCACACAAGGAATGGTACTGACCTCCCAGCTCTTCAATGCTCTCTCCGAAGCCCTTCACAACCAGGTCCGCCTGGTGACCAACGAGAAGAAGAATATGGTTGAAGAAGCCCAGCGTACCATCAGCGCCATCCGCCAGATGGAAACATCCATCGACGACTCCCGCTCTCGACGCGACTACGACGCCGACGAAGACATGCAGGTTACTTACCCACTGACCCGCTGTCTCCAGGTGCTCAAAGAAAAGCATCTCCAGATTAGCAAGATTCACCGCGAACGATTCGAACAAGTTCGGAGTATGTAGACTTCTTGCCCTGGCTGTGGAAGAGGAATTGACGAACAGGAGCACTAACAATTACAGAACTTGTCGAGGCTCTCGAGTCGTACTCATCGCACTTGGAGAGCTCGTTTGTGCGCATTGCCCTCCCTCCTACAGGACCTAACCAGTCCATCCCCATCAACTTTGACCTGTCACCGACGTACGTCGACAAGCTGGACGCCGAGTTCACGCGTGTTTACGAGGAATACACCCGCCGTGTGGCAACCGTCAAGGCTCTTTCCGAAAACATTATCCAGTTGTGGGCGGAACTTGGCACCCCGCAAGCCCAGACCGACGCCGCCATCGTGAAGCACTATCGTGACTCGCCCGAGCAACTGGGTCTGCACGAGGATGATCTTGCTCGCCTCCGCAGTCGACGTGATAAGCTGTCCGACGAAAAGAAGGCACGGGAGAAGCGCCTCAAAGACCTCAAGGCGGCGGTCGAAGATCTCTGGGACAAGCTCGGTGTCGAGGAGCACGAGAAGAAAGCGTTCCTGAACGGAAACCGCGGTTGTGGTATTCGCCAGATTAACGAGTTTGAAGACGAGCTGGCACGCCTCAATGAGCTCAAGCGCCAGAACCTGCCGACGTTTGTTGAAGATGCTCGCTGCCGTCTCCAGGAGCTGTGGGATGTACTGTATCTCTCAGAAGACGAGATGCTTGAGTTCACGCCTGCCTTTTCTGATGTCTACAGCGATGCTCTTCTCGAAGCGCACGAGCGCGAGATTGCGCGTCTCGAGGCCCTCAGAGAGCAGCGCGCCCCCACACTCGCCATGGTCGACCGCCACCAGACCTTGGTCAAGGAACGCGACGATTTGGCCGCGTCAAGTCAGGACGCTTCGCGCCTGATGATGCGTGGCCAAAAGGGCGAGAAGCGGGACCCCGGAAAGCTCCTGCGCGAAGAGAAGACCCGCAAGCGCATTGCCAAGGAGCTGCCCAAGGTGACTGCAGAATTGCGAAAGGTACTCGAGGCCTGGGAGGACGAATACGGACGTCCTTTCCTAGTGCACGGTGAGCGCTACCTCGACACAGTCTACGAAGGCTCTACCCGGCCCTCTGCTGCCTCTTCGGCAGCCTCAGCACCGCGGTCCAAGACACCGGCCAATCCACCAGCGCCAGCCACTGCATCTGCAGCCAAGAGTACAATAAAACGCGCCCCGGCCTCAACGGTTGTCCCGGCTAGGAACATCCCGTCCAGAGCTGGTGCAAAGACGCCTGTCGCACCTGGGACAGCCAGCGGCCTGCCGAAGCGCACCGACACTGTGTCGTCCATCGCAACGGCAAATGGTAGAACGAGCCCATCACGCATCCCGGCGGCGACTTCAAAGGTTCGCGCGCCACTGGGCACACTTAAGCATGGAGGCAACTCGCCTGAGCGGCCACGGGCAGTCCCTGCAGCGGATATACGGTGTGCGACTAACGGTGGTGATCTGGTACGGCAAGCACCATCCTTGATGATGGCGCCGCCACCAAAGATGCGCGAACTTGTGCGTGCACCCCAGCTTGAGACTCCGGCGAACCCATACCGGGGAACGAATCTGGGATCGAGCGTCAACGTGCGTCACATTGAACCAGAGGATGTTTACGACGAACGTTTTGACGACCGGTACGACGACCGCTACGTAGACCGCAGTCTGAGTAGCCAAGCGCATAGCGTGCGACCACAGTCACAACAATCTTACTCGTCTCAACAGTACCGTCAACAACAACATCAACTCCAGCATGCCGGTTCAGTGAGGCATATCTCCAACACATCTACGGCCGTGTCTGGGTCTGAGAATTGGGAGACCTACGATGACTACTCGGAACCGGAACCGGATGCTTCAGAAGGCTACTACGCCAAGATGCGAGCGGCCCGCGGTAAGCGTATGACCCCAGAAGCTGGGTTTGGAAATGCTCGTCCTACATCGAGTATGGCGAACAAGCGGATGCGTGGCATTCCACCACCCTCGTCTACACCATATGCTGGCCATGTGATGGTGGACGCGGAAGGCAATCGCATTGCGTCCGGTAGCGAATGGACCGACGAGGATGCCTTCTAAGACGGCCAAATCACGTTTCACTTGTGCTCATTCCCATTTTTATTCCATTAACGACTTTCCGCCCTTTTTCTTTTTTCTCGTTGTCTTGCGGATTTGCTTTCCTGCCACTTAACGAAGAACGAAGAAACGGCAACTTCCGTCCATTTTCCGGCCATCGCATTCACGGATTACGAAGAGCACCAGCTTGCGTCTCTCTCTCTGTCTCTCTCTTCTCTCTGGCCTCTATTCTCTTTGTTTGTCTCCTTATGACGAGACGATCATTTCCACATGCCACTTTCTGTTCTCCTACTTCATTTTTCTGTCTCTTTTTAGTCTCTCTGGCTTCCTTGTGTGTCTCTTTTGCCGTCAGTTCATTTCTTTTGTACGTATTTTTTTTTTTGGAGCGGTTGGGATTCGACGTCTCCTGGAAGACGGATTTGGGCGGTTTGGGTCGGCGAGAAAGCCGCAGATCGGATCTAATTCCGAAAAATTCTCCTTAAAACTATTTTCTACATCTTCTTCCTGCATTACCAGCGTGACTACTCCTTTCTGGCTACACCTGCGAATCTCTTTAACTTATCGTCACGTCTTGGTTGCTTTTCTGCGATGCGTTTCTGCTTTTGGTCGTCTGAAAGCTACTCCGCTTCTACGATGCACATTGAGAAGTATCTGATATCAAGCCAGAGTTGGGAATAGCTAGAGTGACATAACGTATCTGTAATCTGCACGGACGTATGGTGTTGAGAACTAAATGACGTAAATAGTCGGTACTTCGTACGTATGTTTGTTCATGTAAGTCGTAATTACTCTGCATTTGTAGTGTTCCACTGCAGCTTAGCACGGAGACTGCTAAGTGTTGGGGCATTGCGTCACTAGATTAAAACCGTTGCAGAACCAAACAATGCTGTGGTTTGGCACCTTTGGCGACCAATTTTAGTGGAGCACACCCCACCAAGTTGCTCTTACTAAACGTGCCGGGCATCCTTTGCGAACTGACGGCAGCTACCCACTAATACGGCTTAGCTTACGACGAAATAGCGATCCTTGGGACCGTTTCGAGTGCAGCTGCCATTTACCTCGCCAGGAGAATTGCCCCACATTAATTTCGACGACGACCACCGTATCACCTTCATACTCGCGTTCATTGTGCAAAGGGACACTTCGCCAGTCCTTAACACTGTCCTGCAAGGCCTGCATTCGCAAAACGTATGGAGAACGGCTCCGACTACTAACAAAACAGCAACACACGCTGTCGATAGATCGCTTCCTCCAAGAAACCGTCGCATCCTATTCGTCCAGTCAGCGTCCACTTCAAGACCACGCGACTCTTCCGGCTGCACGCCTCTCGATTTCCCCCGACCACCTCTCTTCGCATTTGCGGACATAGAACATGCCATCGATGCCCCTTCCTTCCCTACTTTGAACTCGACGACCTACATGTGCCACCCATCGAGCTTCCTGAGCGAGCCGGCGGCGTAGGTGCAGCCGATCGCGTTACATTGCCTGTTGGGGTGAACCTTCGTTGTATCTTCTTTGAAAGCTGCCTTTCCATCATGAGCGGCACGGCTGGGTCCAACGGAGCGTCTGATACTGCCGCTGCCACGGCGGCAGCCCTTCGCGGTGCCTCGCTTGCGTTTGGGCGACAAAAGAAGGCGAAAGCCAACTCTCGACAGCATCTCCAACCACAACAGCACCTCCCTCTTCCTAAACAACAACAACAACAACGGCGACAGCCCTCCGTCTCGCCCTCCCGCGATAGCACCATATCCAATACCCAAGCTGCTAATGCCCTCCTGGCGGCAACCTCGGCGGCAGCGTCATCACGGGATGCTTCGGTTAGTGGTATCGGAACGCGCTCTGGTGAACGGGCTGGATTGAGCTTACTGCGGCCGGTGTCGCCGGGCCAGCGGTCGATGGCAGCGAGAAGCAATAGTAGCAGTAGTCGAAGTCGGAGCCGGAGTCGAGGCGCAAACGCATCGAGAGCAGTCACAGCGTCATCATCAGCGGGCGATCTTGTGCCGTTACCTTCACCGGGCATCGTACCACCACCGCATCCGGCCATCGGCCGCACACGAACGGGTGGTGGTAACAACGATATTGCCGGCGGCAGATCGTTGGCAGTGCCCAAATCAACTCCCAAACCTCTACGTCAACCACGGTCAACATCCTTTCTTGCCGCGACGCGAGCTGCCAGCCAAGCAGTGAGTCCAGGGATCACACCAAACCATACAGGGCAGCAGGGAGGGCGAGGGAGCAGCGTTGGGACTATTTCAGCTACGAACACGGGCGGGCCTGGTCCGGTACCAGCACATTTGTCAGCTGCCCTTCTGGCAGCAGCAGCGAGCGAAGAAAAGCGACGGACAGCGGCCGCGACTGCCGCTGCCAATCTTGCGGCCAACGCCTCACGAGTCAACGATGATATGGCCCGCTACGGTATCCGAATTGGACAACGCGAACATGAGGAGTGGGCGGAGGCGGACGATGAGGAGAGCCTAGACTCGTCAACCATAGCAGCCACATCGGCTCTCGTCTCCATGTTTGAGAAGGGAAGCAGCCGGGGGAAAGAAAAGAAGGAACCGAGACGTGTCAAAGCGGACGACCTCAGTAGCGGCGGTACCAGCCCTGTACGGCCGCCGAAACTGAAATCGTTTACGCCGCCACGATCGGTGAGTCCTGTAAGACGCGAGGAGGCTCTTCTTGCAGAGACACCCGCAAAGACACCAACGAAGACACCTACGCTGGCACGGAATCCGGCTACGCCAAGAACAATGGAGCCCACAAAGCCGTCTCCACGGCGTCCTGCAAAGCCCCTTACTAAAGCAATCTCTGCGAAGACAACAACAACAAAAACGACAAATAAAGATCCGGTAGAACAAAAGGAGCTGCTCAACTCCGAGGCAAAACTACTGCCAATGCCAGGGCCAAGCCCCAAGGCAGATGCTTCATTACAGCCGCAGCAAACAAAGCCAATACCGATAACGAAACCCAAGCCACGGCAGAACGCAGGGCAAGAGACATCATCGCCTTTAGGGAAGGTGGAGAGGTTGGAAACAGCGTCGCCTGGCACGTCACCTCTAAGAAAGCACCGCCTACCGTTGCGCGAACTGAACGACGACGACGATGTTATGGGACGGCCGAGTCCGCCCAATCCAAGTGTGCGCGACTCGAGCGCGGCGCGAAGTCGGTCGCTGACGAAGGCGCGGGAATCGCCGGCCCGTTCCTCATCTTTTTCCGGTCGTGGACCTCCTCCGCAGGCACCACCACGTCGTGCTGCCACTGCTCTTGTCGCCCAGCACTCTGCTGGATCCGCAACGCCACTTAGAAAGCCGGCAGCGACGGCGTCGTCAGTTGACGGGTTGGCCAGCGCCATCATGGCGGGGTCTCTTGCAGCGGCAAAACACCCGCCGTCGTCGCAGCAGTCTGTGTCATCGTCCATGCCCGGGTCACGCTCCCGTACGCCGCCCGCGCCGCCGTCGGTGCGCTCGACGTCGCCAACCAAGCGCACAGGCATGTTGCAGACGTTGCGGCGGGAGCGGTCACACTCGGACGACGACGACTACGACCGCGACGGCAAGACGAGTGGCAACACGCACTACCGGCGCAGCCACTACCACCGCGACGGCCGGCTGCGGCAGGGCAAGCACCATTTGTCGCACGCAACACCGGCCGTGCTGGTGGGGGGCAGCCGACACAAGCACAAGCACCACGAGGGGTCGCGGCGGCGCTGGCGCGAAGCCGTTACTGAGCGGCAGAGGCGGCGGTACGAGGCCGTGTGGGCGTCCAACCGCGGCAACCGGGGCTTGGTCGGGATGGAAAACAACAATAACAGCAGCAGCACCAACGTGAACGACGGCGGTACAATTGTTGACGATGCCGCCGACGACGACGAAACCGTGCCCAACGTGGTCGTCCGCGACCTTTGGCGGCGCAGCCGGCTGCCGCTGGACGAGCTAGCAGAGGTGTGGGACCTAGTGGATGAGACGGGGACAGGCCGGCTGGGCAAGGCCGGTTTTGTCGTGGGCCTGTGGCTGATCGACCAACGGCTGCGCGGGCGCAAGATCCCGGCGCGGGTGAGTGAGAGCGTATGGAGCAGTGCGCGGGGGATGCAGGGGCCGACGATGCAGCGGAGGCGGTAGAGGTGAGATGGGGAATATACCATGGGTTTGTTTTGTCACTCGTTGTCTTTTCGACTTTCTGTTTTCATTTTCACTGGCATCATCGTCGCCAGCATCATACCATACCATAGATACCTTGCATGGACTGCATATAGAGGAAGGCCAGGACAACGGCCAGCCCGTTGAGTTTCAATCAAAACATCATCGAACAGCAAGTCATGGCGTGGTAAGATGTACTCGCACGTTGTAAGATGCAGTCTCCAAACCAACAAACGAACGGGTTTCCATATTGGTCGTCGTGGGTGGGTCAACTCTCAAATTGCCCACACGCCCCCCTGGCTCACCCCCATCCACAGTAGGACTTTCTGTTCTCGTCTTATTCTTTTTCTCACCATGCCCATACTGTTGTATTGATAACTGCTGGTAATGACTCGTCGCCTCGGCGCCCTGACTTCCTTTCGTAGTCTAGCTGCTGGCGTCGCATGAATCGCGACCATCGGAGACTGCCGCTTTGCAAATTAACAAATTCAAGCGGTTAGCGTGCGTCGACCAACTGGGGTTGCAGTGTGCATAACTTCCTGTTTATACACACCAGTCGGGACCTGACTACTTTGTATGCTGGCTGTTTCCGAAGCCAACAAAGGAAATCATATGTGGCGCAACCGAGCTGCCTCGGCAAGAATTGAAACGCGGTGCCTGTTATTAGTGGGAGATGTTTTTAGTGCATTTCACTACGATCCCCCTAACTTCCCTTGGGAGAACGGTGGTAATTAGGCCTGTACCGAAATGCGCTGTGGCGGCAAGCTACGGGCCACTTGACGCGGCGTAATGCAGGCGGACCCACACAGGGGAAAGACGGCCTGACGAGGCCTATTACCAATGCAGGGAGCGCGGACCAGTACAAGCGACCCCAGGTAGGAGGAGCTAAGCTGGGCCAAGAACAAAAGGAAGACGAAAAAGAAGCAGCGAATGTAAGGACAAGGGTTCTGCGCATCTGCCGTGCTGCGCGAGTTGAAATTGGCTGGGCGAAGACCCCGGATTCTATCCTGACCTCTTCTCCCCGTCTATTCTCCCGACTTTCCTTCCTCTTTCTTCCTTACGACCTCTTTTTTGCCTTTTCGTCGTTTTGTGCTTTTAACTCTTCTTTTTCTTTGGTCTTTGGCGTCTTCGCGCTCGACCTTTGGTATTTTGATTTTTTCATTTTCCGACAACTGACGACGATCTTTGACGATACAACCGTACGCCTGCTCATCCGCACCCAACCGGACTTCTCTCGGCAATCCCGACTTCCACCATGTCCGACTCTCCGGCCGCCCGTGCCAAGGCAGTGGCCTCTGCGGCCATCGATCCGGCCAACATCGATGCGTTCATCGTCAAGCTCAACAAGGTCATGCAGACGCCTGGCGGCATTGACGCCGTGCTGGCCGCTGTCTGCTACGGCGCCCGACTCGGCTCCGTCATCCTCAACACTGCCGGCGGCCGCGCCCTCTTCCACGAGCCCGTCCGCCAGCTCGCTGCCGTGCTGCTGGCCCTACCCACGCGGGCATCTGCCTCGGCTCTCGTGCTGGTCACATCCAGCGGCAACAAGAACACGAACGTCACGACGGCCGGCGCCGCCAAGGCCGCCGCGGGCGCCTCGGCGCTTGTCCTCGCGCAGCGCCTGCGCGCACTGGGCACACTTCTGACGGAGGCGCGCATGATGCTGCGCCTGTGGGGTCTGCTGTCCATGTATGTGTGGGCGCGCCAGCTGGTGGGCCAGCTGCTGGCCCGGCGGCGTGTGGCGGCTGCGGCCCAGAAGGAGAAGGCGGCCGCCGCCGCGGCGGCTGCAGAGCCGTCCGACAAGACCAAGGAGGGCGAGGAGAAGGCCGCGGTGGCCGAGAAGGAGGCAGCCGCCAAGGTGGTCCCGCCGACGTCGACGGCCGAGACCCTTGTCGGCTGGACGCAGCTGCTGTCGTGCATTGTGTACCAGGTGACGGAGAACGCTGCGTACCTGTCGGGCAAGGGCGTGCTGGGCGCGACGCCCGCACAGCAGGGCAAGCTGTACCGCTGGAGCAGCCGGGCCTTCTCTGTCTTTGTGGCCGCCGAGCTGGGCCGCTTGGCCGTGCAGTCCATGCACCAGACGACCGACACGCCGGCCAAGAAGGCCCAGGCCCTCGAGCTGCACAAGAACATGGTGCGCTACGCATCGCTGGCGCCCGTCATGGCACACTGGGGCATGGAGAAGGGCTTCCTGAGCGACGTCTCACTGACCATTCTGGGCTGCATTCCGGCGGCCATCCAGATCCACAAGACGTGGAAGGAGACGTGATGCTCCTTTTGGTTGTCTAAGCAGCCTTTTGTTGCGTTTGGCTTTTTTCTTTACTTCATTCCGCGGTCTCTTATTCAGTGTACATATATTTTTACTATTTGGTGGGCGTTGGATTTGCCGGCCCAGAAATCCGCGACCAGCCAGTGTTATTTACGATAGGCGCACACAGATATTAGAGCATGGCTATATTTTTGTAATTTGTTTCGCCAAAAAAATCCAGACATATGATCCAAACCAAAAATAAATAAAGTGAGTTGAAGCCATCAACGTAGTATTTCATAGGTCGTCTCGCCAACCAAACTCCACACTAATTATATAAAAGGTTACCGTTTCCAATAAAACAAAGAGAAAAGGGGATGCATTGGATATCGCCCCTGGAAAGACATATGAAACAAGAGAGAAAGGACTATTTAAAACAAAAGGGACTGAATAAAATGCCGGACATCATACGACGCCCTCGCGATCAAATGGGAGACGATGCGAAATATAACAGATGACAATACAGTGCCTAGGGATTGCCAAACGACGAGAGCACGAGCGACTCAAGTGGTAGTCATGGGCTTTTCACCATGCAGCACCTCCTCCGCCTACCATCTCGCCAAAACGCCACCAGCTGCTATGGCTGCTACTGCCGCACTCAGCATCATCCATGGCTGTGCCCATGGACCAGCGACGCGTCCCGTCCGCTCGGCTCCACTGTTGGCTGCCGCCTCGTCAAAGGGGCTGCCACCGCCGCCAAATATATTGCGGTTGTTCGCGCCCGCCACAGGCTGCGACGTCAAAGTCGAGGATGACGTTGATGACGAACGTGGGAGGGAACTCGTCGCAATGGTCGGCGATGGCGGCGCCGCATTGCCGTTTCCACCACCATTCCCGACCAGTGAGTTGGTGTTCTGAATAAACGACTCCGAAGGCCGTACCGATGTCGCCGGTGCAGCGGCTGCGGCTGGTGCCTGTGCGACGCCGTCGCTGGAGCCCGTCGGGACGGTTGTGAACCCTGCTGGAGGGTCGAGTGTTGAAAAGACAAAAGGCGGGTTGCCGTTATTGGTGGCAGAGGTGGTGGTGGTGGTGTCGCTCGTCGCCGCTGCAGTTGTTGCCGCCGTCTCCGTCGTTTCTGTTTGCAAGACTGCTGCCGGCGCTGTTGCTGTCGTCGTTGCGGGGTTGTCTTCGGTGTTGTCTCCCGATACGGATTCGGAACCTCCACACAGCAGGCCGACCAAGTCGCCCGACAGTGCCACACCCAGAACCGTCGTCACCGACCCAGACGACTGGATTCCACCACACACATTCTGGATCGTCTCCTGTGCGCGTGCAATTCCTGCCTGGCAGGCCACTGAGCAGGTATTGCGGTCTCGCCGGCGGCTATTGGACACTGTGAAGTCACTCAGTGTGCATCCAGTTAGTTGCTGGTTGTAGGCGAGGATGCAGTTGATGGGCACCGCTGTTGATGTGATGAGCTGAAAGTTGGACAGCGAGAGCGCAGAGACTGCATGTGGCGCGGCGAGCGCAAGAAGCAGCAAAGAGAAAAACTGGTCGCTGCTTGGCCGCCTCCTTGATAACGTTGTTTTTTGCATTGTGACGTTTGTCTGTGTGCTTCTCGCTATCAAACTGAGTATTCTTCAATGGAGCGTATTTGTCGTACTTTGTAAATGTTCGTCTTGACATCAATAGTATAAACTGATGATGGATAAAAGCAAAGTAAAGAACAGGCAATATTCACGACGGATCAAAGAAGAATCAAAAGTACATCTATTCTTGTTCGCTTTCCGAGGACGTCCTTTTCTTGATTTACTCATATCTATTTTTATGAGTTTCCCGCTTCTTCCTTCGACTGCTTCCCTCCCGTTCGTCTCCAGAATACTGGTGCAGGTGAGCAATGGTGCTGATCAGGGGTCGAGAAGGACCGTCTTTTCGAGAGATATTGAAGTCGCCCACAGTGTCATGCCTTGTAAGATGAAGCAAGCGAGTGGTGTCGAAACGCGGTGTGTCTCAAAACAACAGCGATGTGCACAGTACCTAAATCGGTACACAGATGGTGCAGAGCCTCCTTGAACAGAGATCTGTGAATAAAGAAATAAGAAACGGACCCTGGAAAGAGGCAAAACCGCCCGACTGTTCCTCTTGGATTATTTTACTCTTCCATTCCATTCCCAGGCTATTTCCATCATCGACTGTATTCGTAAACATAAGGCAAGGCCAGGTCTGGATGCATTGGCACATAAAACACACCATGCAGCGATCCCGCCCCAGACGGCCGTGCGCCGACTATTATGCTGCACCCCATCTAATGCATTTTCCAACACTTTCTTTTTATAGCAGAGAAGTTGGATATTAAAATTTTAGGTCGTTGAAGCAAATTAATGTAATAGAGAATCTTTTCACTTGGAGAGGACATCGTTACAAAAAGGTGCTCACTAATCCCATTTCCGGGTAGCATACCATGGTTTCTGCCTCTGCCTCTGCGCCTAGTTGTCCGGTGATTTCTCGTCGAATATGTTCTTCTCCCAAAAATCGCAAAACACTTGATCGATTTCTTCCAAGTCTGGAAGGTGTGTGAGCCTCGGCTTTTGAGAGTTCTACCTGGTAGAAACAAAGGAAAAGTCCAGGTTGAGCTGCTACGATGGCCGCGTCTTAATGTACATACCTTCGAACCTTACACGCAGTCGCAACTTATATGGATTCTTGAAGAGCAAGTAAAAAGAGTTTCCTTCTAAACAAACTAAGTAAATATCGGCGGTGTTGCACTGCGTATAGGCAGACCTTTTGCCACCCTTAGGGGAAAACGAAGAAATTTAAATAAGATAAGACACAAAAGTAAGGAAAGAAGAACGCCCCCAAGATATCCGGTACCCAAGAAAAATGACAGTTGCGCTATATCCCTATCCATATACTCTGGGGCCTCCCCGAGAATGACAAAAAAAGAGGTAAGAAAGAAAGACATGACAGTATCAAAATACATAACTCCGGCTTTGTCCAAAAAGACAGAATAGAAGAAGATGAAAAAGCGAAAGCCTAGACTAGCGAGTTCGCAAAGAAAAAAGGAAGGGAAAGAAACCAAAAATCAAAATGGTATACGAAAGAAACTACAAGGGGTGTTGGCGAGAGGGGGAGCAAAGGCAGCTGTCCTTTAGTCCTTCAACTGCTTCCGGCCCATCTCCTCCATGCCATACTCGTCATAACTATCGAGCATGTCACCAGACGACAGTGATCGTCCAATGTAGAGGCCGACTACCGTAAGCATGCTGGCGAGCAAGAACCAGCCCTCAAACCAGCGATCCACAAAACCAGGAGACAGCGCACTCTCCAGTGCATCGCTCACGGCACTGCCCATCTCCTTGGGCAGGTTGGACCGTAGCAAGAGTGCGGAACTGATTACGTACGTGGCCGCAATCTGCCCGATAAGCAGCGCCATGTTGGCCTGCGCTTGGTACAGTAGCCCCGGTGTCCACTTGACAAAGATGTGGAACGTCTGCAGCACCGAGTTGGCGGACGCCGCCAGGATCACGCCGCTCAGCAGGAACGAAATCTGCCGTGCCCACGCGAGCTGGTCGAGCTTCGGGTCCCAGTGCTTGGCCAGCAGGCCCAAGAACCGGTTGATCGGGTCGGACGACGAGAAAGACGCCTCCGGGTAGTACACCCGATGCAGTGTGGTGAGTGTCGTCGCCAAGATGCGGTAAATGCAGTAAATGCCAAAGGCGTATTGGGGGATCGCAAGAAGCTTTCCCAAGAACGTGCCTGCGCGAGCCTCGGACGCGCGCTTCGAACGCAGAGCCGAGAGGGACGCAGACAGGCCGGCCTCCATCGTCTCCAGCCCAGATATTTCCATCTCTAGGCTCTTGATCTCGATAGCTTCAGGGCCATCCGCTCCAACTATGCTCTTGATTGACCCAACTAGCTTGCCCAAGACGCTACCCTGCTGTTGCGGCACCGGATTCACCGTCATCTCCATCTTGCGCTGCAATGACCGGAGGCGGAGACGCTTCGTCGAGATCAGGTCAGTGGTCATGCTGAGGCTTGTTTCCTTACGAGCCAGATCCGTGTCCGAGACTGGCCGCCTCCGCGCGCTTCGCCGATCGTTGAACATTTGCCACGGGGATGAGACGCTGGCAAAGCCGGAGAGGAGCGCCATGAGCGAGATGCCAATCACGCCGACCCGCTCAAGACACGCGCGAGCCAATCCCCGTGAGCCGGCAGACCGTAGGCTCTGTAAATCGAATGGGTCGTCGGAGGTCGCATCCCAACGCGATGCCATGGAGATGCCTGTGCTGTCGAACCCCGTCCGCGCATCGTTGGAGTACATGTAGTTCTGGACGGGGCCAGGCACGGCAATGCCCAGTGACCAGAACACAAACAGCCAGCTGCCAAAAGCGAGCATCTGCAGAGTCCATGCGACGCGGGGGATCTTGCCCGTGGCGGTGCGCTGGAACGACCAGCCAGACGCGCTGATGACCGACTGGAGCTCCAGGAAGGGAATGAGGATAATTAGGAGGAATAACAGCGCTGGAACCGTAAACCGGAGGGCCGCGTTGCGTGCGACTGGGTCAACAACTTCAGACAACTCGGCGAGAATCAACTCCGCCAGGACTGCAGCGAGGGCAGTAGTGGTTGCAAACGCGGCTGCGGCGAACCGGCGACGCAGGGAGCGAGCACCATGCGCGGCATGGACCAGCCGAAGGCCGGCAGGCGCTGATGGAGGAAGATAGTGGTCCTGGCCGTCGTCGGCCTGTTGTACTCGCGACAGCAACGGGAAGACCTTCTTGGACACGACCACAAACACAATGACGAACGAGGCGAGGAATGGCGTAAGCGAGAAGAGCATGGACAGCGAGAGGCCCGGTGGCGTTGCCGAACAGCCGTCGTCATCGCAGCCAGCGCCGAGGCCGAAGAGACCCATGATCGCCGGCACCGAGGCGCGGGTAGGTGGTGTTGGGGTAGTTGTGCGCAATTATAACGTCGTGTAATCGAGGAGACGAGATGCGTACGTGTAACGGTATCGATTATCGGCAGGTGTCGATAGCTCGGACAGCAGAGCTCGGGCGCATCTCTCCCACCCCCTGGAGTGTTGAGATGGGGAATCGCTGAAGAATAGGACAGCGCAAGTGTATGTGGTTTTCGATAGCCGTAGTTTATTTACGTCTTAGGTGTGAATATTGCCCGGGAATGATCTGTGATCTGTCTCTGTGGTGGGCGATACTCGTTGGAAATGGCGAGTCGATGAAGATGGAGGAGACGAGATACGAAGCATGGTGCAAGCGCCGTATTCGTGTTGTGTAGGAGTCCCCAAACCGGAAAGAGCGCTGACGAAGGTGACGCCAGGTGGACGGCACACTAAGCCCATTGTAATCAACACATGTGCTGAGCTCCTAGCGGGGTTTCGGTACCTGCGACTAAACTGGATTACGAGGCGGTAGCCGAGTTTGGCCTGCGCATGGTCTCGGATCGGCCATAGATTTATCCGTGTTTATCCACCTCCAGACGCTCCAAGTCATATTGGCCTCTGCCAAATGCCCCTGAAGCCCTAAGAAAACCACTGCAATACCTCGCTATTTACGCGGGAGAGTGCCCAGACCAGTTGGCAAAATGACTAAGCTGGCAGGGAATGGCAGAGGACCCCACGAAAAATGCGTTAGCCCCGCTAACCAACGAATGCGGACAGCAAAAATTTGGCGGGCAGTTTTGTAGACAATTTTCGAACTTCACACTTCATCGTTTTTTTAGGGTCCATTCCACGCCCCTGATCACGACGACCTTCCCCGCCCTCCTTTTCGACGAACTTTTCGATCGAGGGCCTGACTCGAAGACTCGAAAGACAAGCGCCGTAAACGCGAGATCCACACGAAAATCGCGACAATGAGCGGACTTCAGAACGGCGCAGCGCCGGCACGCGCCCTCGACGACGACAGCGATGTTGAGGAGGAGGCGCTTGTTGCCGACTACCGCGAGCAGGTTGAATACGAGGACGGCCTCGAGGATCTGGAGCAGGTTAACTCCCTGACCCTCGCCCAGCAGAACGACGACATTCAGTCAAGACTCGCTGCAGCCGCACAGCCGCTCGACTTCTCGGCTCCCCTCGAGGTCAAGTTCCAGAGCTACGATGCCTACTGCAGCCTGTTCCACTTCATTCTCAACTCCGAGGGCCCCGTGGACCTGGAACCCCCTTCGGTATGTCTGCTCCAGCGGAGAATGGCTTACAGAATGTTTCATGATTAGCGGGCATACCAAGTTTTGGTCGCATGCAGCTTTACTGACATACATCTCCTTATCGCAGTACTACTGGGCTTGGGACGTCATCGACGAGTTCATCTACCAGTTCAACTCCTTTTCTTCTTACCGCATGCGCATTGCCCGCCAGAATAACAACGAGGAGGAGATCGCCATCCTGCGAGAGAACCCCAATACGTGGGGCTGCTACAGCGTGCTCAATGTGCTGTACTCTCTGATCCAGCGGTCACAAATCACCGAGCAGCTGGCCGCGCAAAAGCGCAACGAGGACCCCGCCGCTGTGGCCGGAGAGTACGGCTCGAAGAACCTGTACCGCATGCTGGGCTACTTCTCCATCATTGGCCTGCTGCGCGTGCACTGTCTGCTGGGCGACTTCAGCCTGGCCCTCAAGACCATGGACGACATTGAGCTCAACAAGAAGGCCATGTTTGCGCGCGTCATGGCCGCGCACTTTACCACGTACTACTACATCGGCTTCTCGTACATGATGATGCGCCGCTACTCGGACGCAATCCGCATGTTCAGCCACATCCTGGTGTACGTGTCGCGCACAAAGAACTTCCAGAAGAACGCGCAGTACGACTCCATCACCAAGAAGAACGACCAGATGTATGCACTCATTGCCATCTGCGTTGCTTTCAGCCCCACGCGTCTGGACGACGCTATCCACACCCAGATCCGCGAGAAGTACGGCGAGCAGCTGCTGAAGCTGCAGCGCGGTGGCCCCGAGTCACTCCCCATCTTCGAGGAGCTGTTCCGCGCCGCATGCCCCAAGTTCATCTCGCCCGTGCCGCCAGACTTTGAGAACCCGGAGGCTAATGTCGACCCCATCGAGCACCACCTGGCCGTTTTCATGGACGAGGTCAAGAACAACATGTGGAGCCCGACTGTGAAGTCGTACCTGCGTTTGTACACGACAATGGACCTGAAGAAGCTGGCTGGCTTCTTGGAGGTGCGGCCCGAGGAGCTGCGTTCGTGGCTAATTGTCAACAAGGAGCGCACCAAGCAGCTGCGGTGGAACGACCAGAAGCTGCTGGACGGCGAGTGGGTCAACGTTAGCGACCTGGACTACGCTCTGCAGGGTGTACGTATTTGCCTATTACCTATACCCCTGTTTCTGTTTTTTTTTTTTTACGTCTGTGTGCAATACGTGGCTAACCTATACATTAGGACCTGATTCATGTGTCAGAGGCAAAGGTTGGCCGCAAGCTGGTCGACTGGTACCTGCGCAATCTCTCGCGGACCTATGCGTAAACGGATTGGTCCAGAGAAAATGACCAAGCCGCTACGGGTGAAGCACACCCCGAGTATACGGAAGGCAACCAGTGTGTCTTTCTCTGTGTGTCTCAGTGTGTGTGCAACCCTGTACATGTACACTTGCGGCACATTACACAAAACATCACAAATCTTACACGGAGTTCCATGTCCCTTTCAAACTTGGACGGCGTCTTGGCTTTGTAAAATGCGGGACAAGATACGATGGGAACAACGACTAGGGGCACGAGTTAGACAAAAACAAGCGAGCCGGAAAGCGGCTAGATGAGGAACGAGGAGCAAAGCGAAAAAGAATGGCTCCCGGGGATGTCGGACAGGGAAATACTAGGGTCGTCCCGCATTAGCATCTGACAGGATTTTTTTTTTATAATTGTTCTATTTTTTTTTTCTGCTTGTTTCGACCCGAGCCGTGATACCACCTCGCTTACTCCACACGAAGGTTGTCGTCGTATGCCATCAACGTTTTCTGTGCTCCGTACATTATTTCGACCCCTTCTCTGTCATGTCCCCTGCATGTGAATACCCCGGCTGCAAAACAAGTCCCGGGCGGCAGAGGTGAAAGAGCGAGATATACACCGATTGTGAGCCTGCAACCAGGTCACCATCTGTATATGATTTTTTTTTTTCACACAAACAATTTGTTGGTCCCGTCCCACCCTTGTCTTTCCGTATCGGCGCGCGTTGTGTGCTGCAACCATTTCACACCACCTTCTTGGCACGTTGACACTTGATTCGATATCTAGAGTCTTGATGTCTGTTCTTGGCATATTGTTACACGGAACGGGGGGCAAGATAAGATTTTTGGTTTCTTTTTTTTTCTTTTTCTTCGTGTAGCTAAGTGAACCACAGCTGAGGTTAGAAATATCTGATATCAGAGCAGGAGAACAGGGAAAAGAACAGGGAAAGAACAGGGCAAGGTTTTAGTCCTATGCAACCCCACCAGTACACGCGGCGAAGTGGCACGCATCGTTTCCCAACACCCGGGCCGTTCTTCGGAATACGACTTCTTGCCGAAAGCCAAAATACTTGGCATCCTAGGCTGCTTGCCAGCTTGCGTTGTTCAAGGCTTAAATGGCAGGGCGACAACACGTATTGTACGTCGTACTTCGTGCATAGATATGACCCAAGAAAATGAAACCGAGAAAGCCTTCTATCCGTCTCGACCAGTATCTAAGTGGTTCTCCGGGACGCGGACCGGAGATACTAGTCCAGTCAGACGTGTGGGGTGGACAGAAGATACGTTAGCTCGTTAGTAAGGTCCAAGGCAAATATAACTGCTGCGTTTTTGCGCTTGTAGTTTCTTGGTCAGACGTAGAGAAAGTGGCCTTCTACCCGAGATGGCCAGCAGTTTTTGCTCACCGCCGTGTTCAGTTGTGGAGTTCCAAGGTCAAATGCCGGTGAGCGTTGACAGACCACGACCCTTGTTGCCTCCCATGTCGGCTTTAGCGTCCAGCAACTGCTTGCGGCGTGCGTTGGACGAGGAAAAGTAGCGACGAGTGGGATCTGGTCCGTGGGTAGGTCGCCTCACACGGCGGCTGGCCGCCACCTCTGCAGCCCATTTCTGTTGGCACTAGCCACGGGATATTGTTTTTGATCTGTCGTCTGCTCGTTATACAAGCATGTTGTATAACAGTACGGTGTGGTAGTGGAAACATTTGAACCATGGGAGCGCGCTATCTGCGCGCTTGCGTCGCCGCGTTCTAGACCGTGCCTTAACTGACCTTGAACGGCTCTGAGCTTTGCTTGCACCACCTCTTGACCCTCGGAATCTCACTGACTTGTTCGCACTGCAAGAACGTCGAGCGCTTGACAACTGTCGCCAATCCGTCGATGGTTTCATCGAGCGTACAGAGTCCCTCATTCAGAGCAGATTGGGGCCTGTAAATTGCAGTGATAAGGAGATCCTGGGAGGCCTCGTGCCAAGTCTGGGCAGAAGTGCTGGCCGACTCTCAGTGGACCTAGGTTAGCTGCATTGTATCTCATTACGTACCATATTGTGATGAGTATTACAACTGCGTCCGGCCCAAGCTTCAGGGCTTTCCGACATTCGTTTGTCAAGTAACTACGGCGTAAGGAGTAGATAATGATCGCATGTTGTACACATCCAAACGATGGGGCTGCAGGGGGGTCGGCCGTGTGGTGGTGCACTCTCGTGGAGGGAGGCGAGCATCTTGCTATGCCGGAGATGTTTGCCCACTGTCGAGACGCAGCCAGTTGGCACTTAGCTCACAAGTACGTTGTAGGCCCGTCCCTTCCTCTCCAAGTCACACTTCAATACATACACTCCCCTGTTGGTGGCCACTGAACGTTGGATGCACTTTCCTTGCGTTTGCATCTTACTTGTTTGCGCCTTCCCTCCGATTGCCCCCATTCTCTCGTCTGCCGCTCTCGTTCTCGCAGGAAAGCCGAGGATGTCAAAGTAACTATCCAAGGTTGTGCCTTCCGTTATCGTATGGACTAGGTCCTCTGAGCAACTCATCCACCTGCCCACACCTTTTTGCAGTGCCAAGCCGCCGAAAGATGTGACGTGCTCTTTTGTTTGGTGGAAGCTCGCAAAGGAGCAAGATAGAAGAGGAAAAAGTGGGATAACAGTCGGTAGGAATGATGTAAACCCATTACTCTGTACATTATGGAATATGGCACATTACGCTCTGCAAAGCCGCAAATCAAAGCCTGCATCTAGACGGGTGGGGACGTATGTCGTTATTATCTGCTTGTCTCTGTGCCATTGTCTTTTTGCGGTGCTGTCTGCGTGTCTTCTCGCTCCTTACGGTCTCGCCTGGCCAGGTCGGCTGCTGTTCACGCAGATCCTTTGGCTGCCTGCCCAGCTTGTGATCTGATAATACGAATAGAAAGTTTCTCCCCACCCGTGCGATCTCATTTGCCTTCACGGACATGGTCGAAAACAATTTTCTCGTTATTTTTCCCGCTATTGTTTTCATGTAAACCCAGAGCAGCCCTTCGTGCGGTTCAGATTTATTATACGAGCTGTGCCTATTCCTTTGGTCTTTGTAGTTGTGTTTTGACCATCCAGTCCTGGTCCAGCCCACCTTGCTCCTGCCGGCCCCGTAATAATTGCCATTGATTAATGGAGAAGGCACCACCCTGTCTCATTCCGGTGTCATTGTACAAGTATCTCGTCGCCCATCCTTTCCTCTTCATCTTTCTCGCCCAGAGTCGCTTGTGAATAGTTATTCCACCAAGCTCATAAAACCCACAAGAAGTACCGAAAGCTTGCTCCGATAATAACGAACGCATTGCAAAGAGCTTTCCCTTCCAACTACGCCCCCCCTCCCCCCAGTCACGAACCAACACGCCACCGTTTTGGCTGGCCTTTATCCAGCTCATTCATGAGCAGCTTCTCCCTTTTGTCTCTCTCAATGCGTCGCGCAGTTGAATAACCCGTGCTGGCCTCTCCTGAGGCCATCGGAGCAGCGAGCGCGTACGCAGTTACCAGACAGACGAAAATAACTTGAGCAAAAGCTCAGCAAACGAACACGGAAAGAAACACATTCGCATAAGAGGCAGAGCCGCCCCAAGACAAGCCAGGCCGAGGAGCACAGAGGCGTCAACCCAGGAGGCAGGCAGTCTTGACGAGCTGCGAGCAGCTTGCAGCCAAGCTTGCCGCGTTACAGCTGCTCGAAATCAAGCTACGGCTTCGTCAAAAGAGCAAGTTTACCATGTCTCGGGCCCCGATATCCTCCCATCCGCCAGCAGCCAGCCCTGCGAGAACTGCGTCGGCCGCAGACATAAGCCCCGGCTCAGACGTGTCCCCCACGACCGTAGTCCCTGGCAAGGCCGTCGGCGATGCTGTCACCACGACACCAAAGTCAAACGTCGGTTACTTCACATCGGCAGTCACAACAGCAGCCCAAACGTCTACACCTGGTACGTCTATCGCTAGTACCAGCGTAGAGGGCCGACGCAGCGATGGTCTCACGGACGCGTCCGGGGAAACGGCATCAAGCAGCCCCGTGACTGTCGCAACATCCAGCCCAGCCCTGACGACGGGCACGCCGGTGCCAGATCGACGTCCTAGCTCGATCCTCGATCTCGCGAGTGAAGGCAGTGGGACGGCGTCCCGGAAGCCGTCAACGGCATCTGTGACCTTCCTTCCAACACGACACCCTTCCTTGCCACAAGGCCAGCCCAAGCCAGGACGCATTCTGTCGCCTGCTCCCAAACGGTATGTTCGACCTCCACTACCCGAGCGCGCTTTACCTTTACAAACAAAACGTCATTTCAGAATCCCCCACGCTGCTTTACAGTTATTCAATCCATCCCACGTGCGGCATAACAGCCAGTTTTGGCGAGAAAACTCTTCTCAGAGCACTGCACATCCATCTTGTTGAATGGTCTAGTTACGACTTTCGTTCCTAAACTACGCGTCCCCATATCTTTCTTCCCCAGCACAGACAAGGTTGCACGCGACTGGTGGAGAGCGGTAGGCCGTCTGCCGTCAAGGCTGGGGATGCGCCAGCCTTTTTCTAATTTCGCTAGCTCCTCGTCGCTTTGCGGTCGCTTGCTTTGCCGGCTTTCGCTGTCCTGTCCCTGCCTTACTCACTTACCTCACGAGTCCTCTCCTCACTACCCCACTGCACTAGGCCGCTGGGCCGCCCTCTGAATTTTGGCCCGCATAGACTGCCACTCTGTACATGGCACCAGTTGGAATACGCATGTGATGTTCACTCTCGGGACCACAGACCGCAATCAGAGCGCAAATCGTTAGGCCAAAGAGGATTTGCTAGACCTTTCCAAACAGAGCACAGGTGCGGTTACCTCACGGGCCTTATTTTGGCGCGCCCAGTAGTCTCTCCTCCAAAACCCACAAGAGAAAATGACACAACCAACGCCCCTACTCCAGCACAGCCACGGCACTTACAGCCTTTGTGTGGGCTCCAACACCTCATCATCTTTCCCCTCTTCATACATTCTTTGCTCCTCTCCCGCGAACACGACAGATATTTGCTCCACCTCACCCCTCTATAAAGTTGCGATCGATCAAACAACGTGACACTCACATTTACCTCACTGCCAATTTATACGATTGATTGGAGGCATCGTCGTTATGACGACACTAACAGAAACCTCTTCTGCCACCAGGTTCCGGAAGCACGTCGGCTTTGACAACATCCCGATCGGAGAAGCGACAAAGTCAAACACACTCGGCTACACACTGAGCATCAGCCATTATGGCTACCAACCCCGGCGCCGATCACGAACCATGATGGTCGGCATTGACCAGAACATATACTCCGACTTTGCGCTGCAATGGCTGTTGGACGAGTACGCAGACGATGGCGATGAGATAATCTGCGTCCATGTTGTAGACAAAGATGCGCGGACCGTCGAGGAAAAGAACTACAAGGCACGTGCCGACAAAATGGTGGAAAGAATCAAGAGCAAGATCCCCGAAAGCTGCGCAATCAGCATAAAACTCGAGTACGCAGTGGGAAAACTGCATGCGACTTTCCAAAAGCTGGTATGTATCGACGTGCTCATGTCTCTTTTTTTGTCCTCTGTGCGACACTGACGCGCGGTGTTTCCCGGTACAGATTCAAGTCTACGAACCTTCTATGCTTGTCGTTGGAACACGCGGTCGCTCTCTGGGAGGCTTCCAGGGCCTCGTGAACAAGAACTCGTTCTCCAAGTACTGCCTGCAATACTCGCCAGTACCGACTGTTGTCGTCCGTGACTATGAGAAGCGCAAGAAGAAGAAGGACAAGAGATCCAATGACCCGGCCCGTCATAGCTATGCCAACATGCTTGCAACGTCCAACGGCGTGCACGAGGCCAACAGCGAGAACAGCAGCGTGTACAACATGGAGGCGAAGATCTCTGCCGACGAGGAGGCGCATAAGGTCGCCGCCGCCATTGGTCTTCCGGCGGCTTTCGATCCCACTCTCAAGCCAATAGACATAGACCAGTATCTTGGACGCCGGTCGCGCAACACATCGCCAGCCAGGCCAGAGGTAGAGAGCACCACGAGCGACAAGTCTACGATTCCGGGCAGCGTCGAAACTCCTGCAGCATCGGTCGATAGCGAAGACGACGACAGCGCCGACGACGACGACGAAGCCGAGTTTGAAGTGACCTCTGGCCAGCAGGCACTTCAAGAAGCCGCAGCCAAAGAATCCGAGAAGGAGCAGCGCAAGAAGCTGCATGAGATGGAGATGGGCGAGGCTCATGCATTAAAGCATGTCATAGAAAGCGATGAGGAGGATTAACAGCACTGCGAACTCGGCGGCCATGGCGAGTTCTGCTTCTTGTCAGATACACAAACGAATTTATGGCCAAGAAACATGGTTTAGGACGGGTAATGGGCAGACATGGGAGTATGGCGCTCAGTGGCGAGTCTCCTGCTTTCACTGCTGGCGAGCGGAGATGGTCTTTTTTTTCTTTTCTTTTTCTTTCTTTTTTTAATGATTCACGTTAAATTCTGCATCGTGACCTACTTGACGAAATAGGGCGAACGAGATCATTTCAAACGAATATCAAAGAAACATAGGTCGTACAATAGAAGGAGTATATCACTGTGTCTTTGTTTTATTTTGTTATTTTGTTAGCCATGGCCTACCGACCCATGTCTGCAGGAAGATGCCCCACAGCTTTGTCTCGAATCCCTGCTAGAGATCACTTGCAGTCACTGCCGCCCAACAACCAATATCGAGGTGTGGTGACGCACATAAGAAATGTTGCCGATTCAGATGCGCAACTGATCCTATTTTGAGACACAGATTCGCCCTGCACCAGCAAGAAGCCCAACCTGATGTACCAGCGGCGACGCTGGCAATTCGGTGACAGTGCGCTTCAGAGTATTGCGAACCGCAGAAGAAGATCCGCTGTAACAGTGAGTCAACGGATAAGGCTGCTGTAAGTACAGTGGATTCGGCAGGCGGAAAAAGAATACATCCGGCGGGGAAGCTACCGTGGACGAGCTCTTACAGTGACTTACGTCGCTGTATTAGGAAACCTCGCCCCTCTATTTACGGTGCGTCATGGCTACTGCTTTAAAAAAAAAGTTTGTCCCAGTTGGGCAGGCGGACAAAGAGCGAGAATGACGGCAATATGATTTATTCTGAGTAGTTCATCGCTACTGACATCGACGGCAGAGAACAACATTTGACCGCTGGACAGCATATCTCAGTGCAACGGCAAACCGGCCGCGATCTAACTAGCTGCAAAGGCTTCATGAGAAGCAGTCACTCCTTTCATATTGTTCTTATTTTAATGTCGGCCGTTGCTGTTCCTGCTTTACGAAGCTGACCCATCGCTTTGCTGAGAAATCGCTTTGAACACAGTGGCATTGCGACTCGTCGTCTTGACATCTCACGACCGGCTGAGACGAACGTTTTACAATTTCACTTGAAGATACCCGCTTCGAAATACCATAATGCCTGTCGTCGGCCCAGAAAAGCTGGCTGCTCTGCAGCAGCATGGCGACAACGTTCGCAACATTTGCGTTTTGGCGCATGTCGACCATGGCAAAACCTCATTGACAGACGCTCTCATTGCTACAAATGGCATCATATCCGCGAAGATGGCCGGCAAGATCCGGTATCTTGACTCTCGGCCCGACGAACAGCTTCGTGGCATCACAATGGAGTCCTCTGCAATCTCGCTCCTGTTCGCCATGATGCGGCGAGCCAATCCCGAAGCAGCCCCCGAAGCCAAGGAATACCTCGTCAACCTGATCGACTCTCCCGGCCACATCGACTTTAGCAGCGAAGTTTCGACCGCCTCGCGCCTGTGCGATGGTGCCGTTGTTCTTGTCGATGCCGTCGAGGGCGTTTGCAGCCAAACTGTCACCGTTCTGCGTCAAACCTGGACGGAGAAGTTGAAGCCACTTCTCGTCATCAACAAGATGGACCGGCTCGTTACCGAGCTGCAAATGACACCCGCGGATGCCTATGTGCACATAAGTAAACTGCTCGAGCAAGTAAATGCTGTCCTTGGCAGCTTCTTCCAGGGCGAGCGCATGGAGGAGGACCTCAACTGGCGGGAACGTGTCGACGAACGTGTCGCTGCTGCGAAGGAGGCACAGGGCGGCGGCGGCGGTGACGAATCACAGACCGACGAATACCAGGAGCGGGACGACGAGGACATTTACTTTGCGCCTGAGAAGAACAATGTTATTTTCAGCAGTGCCATCGATGGCTGGGCGTTTACTGTTCGCCAGTTTGCAGTCTTGTACGAGCGCAAGCTCGGCATCAAGGCACAACTCCTTGAAAAGGTACTCTGGGGCAGCTTCTACCTGGACCCCAAGACCAAAAAGGTGCTCGGCGCACGACACCTCAAGGGCCGCTCGCTCAAGCCGATGTTCGTGCAGCTTGTCCTTGAACCAATTTGGGCCGTGTACAATGCGACCTTGGGCGGCAACAATGACCGTGGCGATCCCGAGGCCCTGGAGAAGATCACGAAATCGCTTAGCATCGCGATTCCGGCGCACATCAAGCGGTCGCGGGATCCTCGCCAGCTGATGATGACCGTCTTCTCTTCATGGCTGCCACTATCGACGGCTCTACTCGTTTCCGTCATCGAGTCTTTGCCTTCCCCGAGGGCGGCACAGGAGGAACGCATGGGTGAGCTTCTCGACCGCTCGCCCGATCCTGACCACATCGACTCTTCGGTCCGGTCGGCCATGGTCTCGTTCAACCAGTCCAAGGAACAACCAGTGGTCGTCTACGTCAGCAAGATGGTTTCGATACCTGAAAGCGAGTTGCCCGAAAATAAGCGGAAGAATACAAACTCCATGAGTGCCGAGGAGGCGCGCGAGTTGGCAAGACAGAAGCGGGCAGAGATTGCCCGCGCACAGCAGGCCGAGGCTGCCGCCGCTGGCCACTCCAACGACGGTGACTACCTCGCATTGTCTCTCGATGCTGTAACAATCCAAGACAGCCAGGACGATGCCGAGAAGGCCAATATTGATCCCGAACACCTGATCGGCTTTGCACGCATCTACTCTGGCACGCTCTCTGTCGGCGACGAAATCTACGTCATTCCGCCCAAGTTCTCGCCCGCCCATCCTCACCACCCGCCTGAGCCCAAGAAGATCACAGTGGAAGCGCTCTATATGATCATGGGCCGCAACCTCGAAAGTCTCGACCAAGTACCGGCCGGTGTCGTCTTTGGTATTCGTGGCCTTGAGGGCACCGTCCTCAAGTCTGCAACTCTTTGTAGTCAAGTCGAAGGCGCATGCAACCTGGCGGGCATCGCCAGTACAATCGGCCGTCCCATCGTGCGCGTCGCACTCGAGCCGGAGAACCCGGCTGATCTCGACAAGATGATTGCCGGTCTGAAGCTGCTCGTCCAAAGCGATCCCTGCGCCGAGTACGAGCAGTTCTCCACAGGGGAGCACGTCCTGCTTACGGCAGGCGAACTTCATCTCGAGCGCTGCCTGACAGATCTGCGGGAGCGTTTTGCCCGCTGCGAGATCCAGGCCGGCGCACCGATTGTGCCGTACCGAGAGACGATTGTCCGTGCCGAGGAGATGCGTCCGCCCTCCAACAAAGAGCTGGGCCGCGGTGTTGTGCAGAGCTTTACGAGCTCCAAGCAAGTGTCGATCACCGTGCGAGTCCGCCCTCTTCCGACTGAGGTCACCGACTTTTTGATCAAGAACTCAGGCAGCATCCGGAATATTTCGTCTGAAACGAAGGCTTCCAATGGCACAGGGGACAAGACTGGAGAGCGGGCAGACGACGTTGTTGCTGAAAATAGCTCTAATAAAAATGGAGCCTCAACCTCTGGCGATGAAGCGGCGGCAGGAGCTGAGACTGATGAAGTGTCGGGCGTGTCCCAGGTTCTCTCCCCAGAAGAATTCAAGGAGCAGCTGCAGACTCATTTTGATAGCAGCAAGGGTGGCTCAGCATGGAAGGGCGTCACCGACAACATTGTTTCATTTGCACCTCGCCGTGTTGGCCCCAACATTCTTGTCGATAGTACCCAGTCACAGTGCCTTCAAAGGTTGTTTGCTGACCACGACGTTGATGCCGGCGCAGCTGCCAGCGCCGATGACCGGGTCGACCCAAGCCACTTTGCCGACAAGATCGTCTATGCTTTCCAGCTGGCCACCCAACAGGGGCCCCTGTGCCACGAACCTGTCCAAGGCATTGCCGTAGTCGTCGAAGATGTCAAGGTGTCGCCGGCCGGAAGCAGTGTTGAGGACGGTGCAAACAACACCCTGCTGGTGCGGGACAACCTTGGCCGACTGACTGGCGAGGTCATTAAGACGGTCCAGCAGTCCATCCACAAGGGATTCCTAGACTGGTCACCCCGTCTTATGCTCGCCATGTACTCGTGTGAGATTCAAGCAAGCAGTAAGTTCCAGACCCCTTCACTTACTTTACTGTCGTTTGTATTAAGAGTAGTAATACTAACTGCTAAACAGCCGAGGTTTTGGGACGTGTCTACGACGTGCTGACGCGCCGCCGTGGCCGTATTCTATCCGAGACCATGAAAGAAGGCACACCCTTCTTCACCATTCTGTCGCTTTTGCCCGTAGCCGAGTCGTTTGGCTTCTCCGACGATATGCGCAAGCGGACAAGTGGCGCTGCCCAGCCGCAGCTTATCTTCACAGGTTTTGGGGTGTTGGATGAGGATCCTCTTTGGGTGCCGTTCACGGAGGACGATCTGGAGGATCTGGGTGAATTTGGCGACCGAGAGAACGTGGCCAAGCGGTACATGGACGGTGTCCGGCGCCGCAAGGGCCTGCTCGTGGAGGGCCGCAATGTTGCTCGGAGCGCCGAGAAGCAGAAGACACTTAAACGCTAAAGGCACGGGCAGCAAAGGTTGGATAACATACATAGGATGGCGTTTGCGTTCTAGATAAAATACATCACTGGGTTAGGATTTCAGGATAAAGTTGGCAAAAAGACGACACTATATTATATTTGGAAACTTCTCAAATGTCGTATTTTTGTATCGAGCCGTGCACTCGGCGTAGAAGAAACGATAAAAAGGAATGTGTGACACAATCAGCTAAGTACAAAGCCATGGAAGGAAACATACAGTGATACTAAACAAATCCTCTTTAGGTCTCATGTCTTCACTTGTAACACGAGGAAGAAATCAACTACAACAGGATGCAAAACCGAAATAAAGGAACGAAAGAAAGAAATCAAGTCCCAATGTCATACTTGTTGCTCATACGATGCAGTGAGATAAAAAAGAAAATAGTTTTAACAGAGAAGAGAGCCAAAAAAATGTAACAAAATGAACAGAAAAATCCCATTTCTTTTTTCCCATAAAAATATAAAACGCGAAATAAATCAAGGTACCGCTTTCTTTTTACAAAAAAAGTGTCTGGTTTCGTCAACCTTCTTCCAACACCATTTTTCTTCGTCCGTCATCCCAGTGACTCTGGACAAAGACATCAGCAGGTCGAAGCTGCAAGCACATATGCACGCTTGCCTCTCTGCAGGTATCACGAAAGACATCAACGTCCTTCTTTCCCAAGGCCCATTTCTCCTAACCCCGGACCCGAAACATGCACGTATACGCATCTCGCATATGCACAACCACTTAGGAGTGCAGATACAGATGCCTCTCTCCCAAACAACAAAAACAGTCCGACACGCTTTTTTCTCGCTACCACCTTGCTCTTGTACTGGTCCACTCCATACATCCACGTCGATCTCACTCCCCAACAAGAGCAAAATGCACACCAAAGGTTTCCCTGTATCGGTGTGACTTGACCATGGAGCCCAACACCAATCACCTATCCAATGCGAAATACCTTCGCTGCTTTACCACAGACGGCCGTAGCTCTAAAATACCGTTGCACAGGAAAAGAAGCTAAACCATGGGTGGGCAGGCAAGCGAACGAAGGAGAGAAAGAAACTAACTGAAATCAAAATCGCTTGGGCAAAGAATCGGGTTGGGTCTATGGAACCACTGGCCATATGCTAGAGCAGAAAAATCTGGGATTCGGAGGAGAGACGAGAAAAGAGCTTCTTTTTTGTGGAGCACGAGGACTGCTCTGCCTGTCATGGCTTGCTGTTCCTCCTGTCGCGGCGGGGATGGGTGGGTTCAACCGCTCATTGGGCGCGCGGCTTCTGGCTGCGGCGACCCTTGTTCGGAACGGTCTCCCAGCCCTCCTCATCCGGGCCTGTGGGTGTGGCCGGGGCGGCACCCTCCTCCTGGGGGAGCTTGGGCGTCGACGGCTGCGACTGCTGGCCACCGTTGGCGGCACGCGGGGGGCGAGGGCCGTCATTGTTGCGGGGACCTCTGGGTGCACCACTGCCACGGCGCTGGCCATCGGCGCCACCACGGGGTTCACGCGGTGGGCGGGGACCGCGCTGCTCGCCAGACGGCTGTCTCCAGTTGCCGCTGTCGTTGGCGCGCGACTTGGCATTTTGGAGCTGGTCACCGCGGGGCTCGCGGGGCTCGCGAGGCTCGCGGGGCTCTCTTGAGCGGGGCCCTCTCTGATTCGGCACGGCCGAGCCGTTCTGTGGGCTGCCAGTCTTGGCAGCAGCTGCGTCACTTTTGGCGGACTCTTCAGTCTTCTCCTCCGAAGCATCAGCAGCGGCGGCGGCTTCGGTAGCGGGCGCTTCAGTAGCGGCGGCAGCAGCAGAGGCCTCCTCTTTGGGAGCCTCCTCCTTGGGAGCCTCCTTCTCCGCCTTCTCAGCGGCAGCCTTTGCGGCAGCGGCCTCCTGTGCAGCGGCCTCCTTGGCCTTCTTGGCCTCCTCTTTAGCTTTCTCATCGGCCTCCTTCTTCTCCTTAATCGCGATCTGGCGCTTCTCCTCGACCTCCCGCTCGCGGGCGGCTGTGTCAATTGGGCGCGCAGCGCCGAAGGGGCTGGCCTTGGCGTCGCCGGCGGGAGTCGAAGCGGCATCTGGGGCCTCGGAAACAGTGCGCTTGGCCAGGTTCAGCTTTGGCCGGGACGCAAGGACGGCAGTAGCAGGTGCAGGAGAAGACGGGGCCTCGCTGCCGCTACGAGAGGGCGCAGGCGACTTCACCGGCGCATCTGGGCGCATGTTGTTGCGCCACTGCATATCACGCTCCGCAGCAGTGGGAACGCGTTCCGGACGCTCAGTGAACTCGCGGTGGGGACGGGATCCATCAGCAGGACCGGCCGGGCCAGCGCCACCCTCAGGGCGGCCCTCGCCCCAAGTGGCAGGAGACGGCTTCCGGGGGCCACGGAAAGACTCGGACCGGCCACCTTCGCGGGCGAGGTCGACAGGGCGCTCCTGCTGGGGCAGAGGAGATAGAGGGCCCTTGCGCTCCCAAGTCAGGTCACGCGGCTTCTCGTCGGTCGGCGCGTCCCGTGGGGGGCGGCGCTCGGAAAAGTCAGGGGCCGGGCGGCGGTCGTTGTTGCGCGCCGACGGCAGGTCCGGCAGAGGGCCCTTGCGGGTCCACTCGCTCAGGTCGCGAGAAGAGCCCTCACCACCACGCTGGTCACGCTCCTTGGCTGCAAGCAGGTTAGCAATTATGTAGGCGATCTATACGTATAGACAGGCCATTTTCGGTTAGATTACGTACGAGGATCTGCAATCTTGACCTTAATGTTCCGGCCACGGAAAGACGATCCATCGAGCTCGAGAGCGCGTTTCAAGCCATCGACATTGGAAAACTCGGCGTAACCAAAACCCTTGGGGCGGCGGGTCTCACGGTCCTCGATAAGGCGAATGCTAGTGACGTCGCAGCCGTCGAGGAGGTCGCGGATATCGGGCTCCGTAATCTCGTAGTCGAGGTTGCCGAGGTGGGCAAGGTAAGGCGGCTTGTCCGGGATGCGCTGAGGAACGGGATCGCGGTACGAGAAGCCTAGCAGGAGAGACAAGAGGTTAGCAATCAGAGACAACCTTCGTGTACTGGTAGTTGTCGGAACATACCACGGTCATCCAAGCGGGGGCCGCTGTTGTTGTAGAAGCTGCTGCCGCCGCCACCGCCGCGGCGCTCCATAGGAGGAAGAGCTTGGGTGCCTGCATGTGGTTGTTAGTAAGTGTATGTCTATACAGATTTGTCGATATGGTTCCGTGACACCGCCGTCGGCCGATGATCGGACAGCATGACGTCGCCAAACTCTGTTTCAAGACCGGGGTGGCCACATACCGTAAGATTCTTCAACCTCATCCGCCCATGATCCACCACCGAAGGCTAGACAAGAAGTTAGTATATGCCACGAATGCACAGCACCGGACCGGTCACTCTGAGTCCGCTTCGGGGTGTCGGAAATAGCTCACAGTCATTGGACATGAACTCTCCATAGGAGAGCTTCTGCACTTCCTTCTTCTTGGGAGCTAATGGAGTGTTAGCATATACAGTTGAAAACATAGTTCCCTAACCAATAGAGCAGGTCATTGTCCAGGCCGGGGACACAGGCGCCGACGGAGCCGACACGGCGCCGGCACAATCTGACGATGAAAACAAGGCCGAGCAAGCAATGTGCATGCCAACAAGCAAATCCGTTAAGGGGGGACGTAAACGTACCCATGATGAAAGACAGGTATGAAACGTTGACTACGCGCAACGAGCACTTGGCAACGGCACGTAGACAACGGGGGTTGACGCGGGGGCGGGCGTCGGTCGGCGAGTATCGGAGAAATTTCCCAAAGAATCGCGACGGGCAAGCGACGACGCTGAGGAAAAAAGGGGTCCGGTCGGAGGGTCGTTGAGACCGGCAAACAAACAAGCACTCTGCACGCAATCGAAAGCGACGATTGGTACAGTTGGTAACGCGACGTCTAGAGGTCGATTCGGAGAAACGGGAGTCTCGGTTGTGGTGTGTACGTGGATGGCGATGTCGTTTGGAATTTTTAAAAAGGCCGGCTTGGAAGGGAAAAAAATTGGGATGTGAGGATTGGCTGTGTGGGCTGGGCTATTTTTTTGCGTGGGCGGCGCGATTTCATGGTGGAGCCATTCCCGATTAGGATTAACCCCGCCAATTATCCTCTTATTTTGCAATTTTTTTTAAAAGGTCTGCGAGCAGCTGTTTCTCAGTACATTAAAGGAAAGGCCAATGGACACGGCTCATTGCCCTTTCTCATTGGCCTTGTCTCTATGGCACAGTGCGATAGGCTTCGACTACTGTGCAAAAGTGTGCAAACGTGAATGCTGCTGCTATGACCTTGCTAAGTGGAAATGCACTGAACTCGTAAGTCTCAACTATCATCTGTAAGTCTTCGTAATATACACGTTTAAGATCTTCAACTTTGTCCCTGCCTGGTGTCGCAGGTTTTGAAAGTAGGTTTGTTTGCTGGCAACGAGAATGGCAGCCTTGCTCAATGCGCACCGTAGCAAATTGTAAGCCTATTTTCGAGAATAACAGCGGGTGCATTCACCACCTCGCACTGTACGGAATTAGCGTGCGAATATACCCTTCACTCATTGATCTGCACAAAGCAGGAAGTATGACACCTTCTTATTGAAGACGAGGCTGCAGCAACCACAAGTACGACGTACGGTGAGCGACAAGAAAAGGCATAGTCAACAGAGTGAGTGTGAAATTCGCCTTCTCATGGATGCACTATACTTGACTCCCTTTTACTAATCTCGCAACCCTAGCCGCACACATTGGACTTTGGCTATTTCCTATTGATGAACATTTGATTCCGCGATCCGCAGCTGGAGTCTGTGGCCACCTGCACCGGATAACCTGGCTGCCCATACACCCCTTACAAACTCTGCAGAGGCCACTACTATCGACGTATACCATGTCACGGCCCGAGTCCACGCCGCCGCCCCGGCGCCCACCAGCGGCAAAGGCACAAATATCGCCAGAGGTGGCTGACATTCTCGTTCCAAGTCTGCAAGTGGGATTGGGTGCAGGTTTGTGGAACCGATGCTCATAACATATGTATTTGGAAGGCGTCGTTACTAACGGAAATGAAACCGAAGGAACGATAGGGCTATTTGTTGGTGCAGCCTCTGGCATTGTGCGCTCGACCACGCCGGTGCTGTTCTCTCTTGTGACGGGAGCACAATGGTTTGCTCTTGGCAGCAGTTACTACGGTGAGACAAGCGTTACGTCTTGGTCCCATATCATAACGGATAACTAATTCTGCTTGTCAGGATCAAGAAGTGCCATCATCTCGGCATGGGGCGGCGAAAGTACACTGACGCCGTGGGACAACGTAAAGGCCAGCACGCTTGCTGGAGCCTCGGCCGGCTTCGTTGGCGGCTCGTTGCGTATGTTTTTATGCCCTTCGATTTTGCAAACAACTTCACATGGTACATGCCCATGCTGACAACTCTAGGTGGCCCACGAAATATTCTTCCCGCCGTCGCCATTTTCTCCATCTTTGGCGCCAGTGGTCAGGCAGTCTTGAACGCCATGTCGACGGGGGCGACCCCGGACGCGAAGTCTAAATCAGACTGGCTCGCGTCCAAGTGGAGCCCAGTGACGCCGATGACCGATACCGAATATGCTACATTCATCCAGGACAAGATCCTCAAGCTCGATGTCGAGGTGTCGATGATTGATGACCAGCTGGCCGCATTAAGGGCGCGAAAAGCGCAGAGAGAAGCCGAAAACCCACAACGTGAAGATTCATAGCAATGGGACGCGCCCTATAAGATATGATTTATTGCATAGACAGCGAATACGGAAATTCAAGAAACAACTCAATGCCCATCCAAGTACCTCATCGCACTCCCAAGTTCCTGGAAAGGTGAGGTTTTCTCGAGAACATGACAGCGGTGCGATTTTGCGCTCAAAGAATAGTGAGAGCGCATTTAAAAAAACGATTAGGCCACCGCTCCACAACCGTCATAAAAAGCCCCGTCTCTGCTGTATTTCCAGGTTCGGGTTCGCGCCTGTAAATGACTGTATGGGAATGTTAAACATGTTGCACTTTGGCTTCAGATGGAAAAGTACGGACTTTCGTCACTGGGATATGCGTGATAACATCATGTTATTATTTATTACAGAGGCAGATCAAAGAAATTGACGTTTAATGTTGGGCCAGTTAAACCAGCTCTATCACTCTGCTAATTAGCGAGCTCTGGTAGAGCTCGACGTTGATTGGCTGGATGACGGCTGTTGGGGTTTGTGTCATCGCGTGCGCGGGGCGCCCCAAATGCCAGCCGTTGCCAAATTGTCGCTAAAGCCCAACATTTCACTGGTTTCGATGGAAAACAAGCACCTGACTAAGCCTTTGAAGCTACCCCGGAGCGGCGGACGCCAAAAGTGATGTGCAACGGGGCTCGCTTAAAGTCGTAATTTGGGGTTGTCGCACTATTGGGAATAACAATATTTGGGAAAGAACAGCCGGCCACTGTACATCGACACCTGCCTCTCTTGTCACACAAGACTTCTTGCTTCACTTGTCGAGCCACGGTCGAGCTGCCAATTCCACACAACGCCTCGACACACCCATATCTTTCTCCCCAACCTGCTGCCCGGACCTGCGCGCGACGTCGGCACCGCCTCGCGCCTCTCGTGCCTCTCTCCGCGACAACAGAACATTTTGTCGCTGTCTTTGTCTTCAGACCTTCCTCCCGGCCCCAACCGACCTCGACAGGCCACGGACCTGACTCGACACTACGTCTGTGCCTTACCATTGACGAGCTGGGACGCCAGGGCACGCTTTTGCGGACACACTCTCTTGATCCTGAGCTGCCCCTATCTCCGTTGATCGATATGGCGCCCGTTGCGCCTGGCACAGACCGCGTGTAGAGACTGCAATGATATGACCCGGGTGGGTTCACAGCTGCACCCTTCTCTCTGACCGCTTTGTTTATTCTCCTTCTCGTGGCCGTCACTGACTCTCTGCGCTGTCGCTAGACGTCGCATACGATCCCAGCAGTCGCCGCGCCGTTATGGCGCTTTTCAGCCCCACCTTCATTCTCGGCGTCGTCGTCCTCCTCTACGTCCTCTCCTTTGTCCTATTCGCCATCATTCGCATTGTCACGGGCCTGTCTATCCAGCGCATTGGCTATTTCTCCCTTCGCCGCCTTGCTTACGTGCCTCGCGACGGGCTCAAGATCGAAGTCCGCGGCCTGGGCCTCAACATTCACCGTCCGACTTTCGCACAGCCAACGTGGTTGAGCATTGTCGTCAGCGAGCTCGTTGTCACCGCCGATACCAACGAGTTAGAAGGCTTGCACCATGCCGACGAGAAGGCTGCCTACAATGACACGACCAGCGAAACGCCAGGTGGCGACCCCACAGTGGGCAAGGAGGCCTGCAGCGAGCGGAGCGGAGATGATGACATAGACGAAAAAGCACCTGCATCTGCCGCATCACCACCCCCCAGCGAAAGCTCCGACAGCGAACGCCGCAAGGCTGCCGGTGCAGAAGAGCGCAGCAAAACCTGGCGCCAGCTTATGAAACTCAAAGAGCGCATCAAGCGTCTGCATCGCAATATCAAGTGGCTGCGGCTGGTGGATGTGGTTGCCACCAACTCGGCCGTCAACGTCGTCGGAGTCGGCAACGTTCAGTTTGGCAGCTTTACGATTGCGGTTGACACACGCCGCAAGATGGTTGACCGCGATCGCCGTCTGTTCCAAGACCAAGACGCCCCTCATGAGACGAGCCAGGCCGAGTGGATTATGACACTCCGCAGCGTTCTCTTTACCCCCGAAAATAGAGACTCCATGGAGATAGTGGACAATGTCACGCTCAACATCCACGGGTTCCTGTATGAAGCACTCGATGGTTTGCGTGACGCCGCAATCGCATTGAAGCTTGGTCGTGTCCACGTCCCGTACGACGACCTCCTCTACTGTGCGGAGCTGTACCGGCAGACCAAGAAGACGGTCTCGCCTCTTGCGCTGGCCCCTACTCATATCACAGAGCCTCTGAGTCCCATGTCGCCTATCCTCGAGGATACCCCGTTTTTGACGAATAGTCAGCCGGCGACATCCGACCCACAGCCGAATGATGCTGCAAAGGCGGCCACAACCGATCAAGCCAGTAGCACTGAACCCACTGACGAAGATGAGCTCATGCAAACCGTAGCTGACTCGAAGGAGTTCGTGAGCTCTATTCTCCGAGGCATCAAAGAGGTCCAGTTCGCCGTCAGCTTCCTTGGCATTGCCAAGAAGGTGCAAACTGCCAAAGCAACGAGAGCCCCTGTTCTCCTCATGAATCTGTCCATGAAAGAGGTCGGCATCGATTTGCACCGTCTTGATCCCAAGTCGCCTGCCCACCGGATGTACTTTTCTTCCAAGGATATTGCGCATGAGGCACTCGCTGCCGCCCTGTCAATATCCCTTAGTGCAGACGACGGCCAGGGCAAGCCTCAGCGTCTGATGTATGTCCCAATGGCTACGACGACGGTTAAGACAACCTTGCCGTCCAAATCCGTGGAGATCACCAGGGGCATTAGTGCTGAAGAGAGAAATGCCAACATCCTCTTTGCCAACTTTGTTGTCACATCACCGTCCGTGGATCTTGATCCACGCCACCTTCCACTAATTCTTGCCATCCTGAACCGCCCAAAACCGCCACGGGCCCATGCATCGTCGCTGCCGAAAACACGCCGCCACATC